TATAATCTGTTAACACAGCTTCACCTATGTGTGTTCACAGGCTGCTTAAATTATATTTCATTATATTTGGCTTATCGAATGTTTATAAAAGGACAAAGTATATAATGCAGAAAACATATAATGCAGTTATATCTGTTGATGAATATTTTGAAATAATTCTCACAGTGCCTCTCACATCCCTGAGAATGAATAATAAAATGATGTTAGATAACTCAGATATTCAAACAGTCTTTGTATCCAAGGGGCCAGGTGTTACACCCATGCCCCCCCTCTCTGCTCTGCTCTACCCCACCCCGTCAGGCCCGTGATGGGTCAGGCAACTCAATTTCCTCACATCCCCAATCCGCTCAATCAGCCAGTCACTCAACCACAGGCCTCATTCATCTCACTTAGAGAAAAATGACCATTTTGGCAACATCTGAATTAAGAGAGATTTGTCTCAAACCTCCCACCGGTCTCTCTCCCCCCAGTCACCTGAGTTTACACCATGTACGCACCTCTAACAGTCTCTTACTCAAAGCTGTGTGTTTATATCTGCTCTGCAAGTGATTAAATGCTCATTGAATGTGAATGAAAGTGTCGATGTAATATCTGCAGGGGCTGGATTAAATCTGGACACCACACTGAGTGTTTATGCCTTTATAAAGACTAAGAGGATTAGAGTTTTCATATAAAAGGTTATGATGTGTGTTGAGTTAAATATACTACATGGTGTCCCAATATAATAATACACTGCACATTTTTTCTTGAATTAGAAAATCCCATCTTTTCATCATTTTGAACGCTTAAACTATATATGAAGATTCAGTGCTGCTGCATTGAATGTAATAGAAATATGTTTGCTGTTTTTAAATCAACTGTGTACAATACATTTCATGCTTGTACTCATGCAGGTCTTATGTGAAATAAAAAAACACTGTGATTATTTCAAGCTTTTGTTGCCATCACACACAATAAATGTTTCCATTTCTAATACTTTACATGGTTGAGTTGAATATTTTCTTTATATTTCAACAATATAAAATGGATTGAGCTCAGCTGTTTGCAGAGAGGAAAGCATCACCAGCCAGTCAAGAGAGAAAGGTCACTTATCTCATGGATCACAGCCTTTCAAATTTACTCTCATTACTGTGAATAAGGCACATCCACCATCATACATTTTGTGACCATTAATTCACCGTGGTGTTATCACAGATAGAAAGCTCGATAGCTTCACTGCCGGAGGTTTACCCCCTTTCGCAGTCAATACCCGATGTAGATGAATATATGATATATTTAAAATGGCCGATAATGGAGGGGGAGGCTAAACGGTTGGATGAAAATCCAATTTTGCCACACAATCACCAGAGACAAGTCTGAATTCAGTGAACATTAACTCAATGTGATGTGGTCACACAACCCAAGTGATTAAATGTCAAGAAGTGATTGCGACTCAGATGCTTTGTGAGGAAATTGAAGCACGAAAACCAAAAAACGCTGGGGTGGCTCAACGTGAGGCTACGGACAACATGGTACAGAAAAAACAAAATATATGCCCGTCCATAATGATTCAATACAAACTTTCTTATTTCTGATTCACTGCTGAAAAAAAGGGATTCAATATAAAATGTTATATATAAACATCCAATCCAAGCTAATCAAATTGAGCTTAAACAGTGTGTAGCAGGGATCATGTATCACGCCACTGATGGCTCTGCCTGGCTGCTTTATGGAAAGTGCCTGGAAAGACATAACCTTTGGGTAATTAAACTTAAAATGCATAAATTTGATGTGACATTGTTTGCACATACATCCAGTAATTAACAGTCTCCCAGTGCTACAGCGCTGCTGCCTCAGGTATTGTGGGTTTGTTTTTAATCACACAGTGAATCAGTGTGACTGATGTGCTGTTTGGGGGGTTTGTGTACAGTCACATGACGTGTTGCTTTAGGCACAACCTGTCATTATGAATATCCTGAAGAGAAAGAAATATGTTGCTAATGTCAATTTTCTAAAACTAAAATAGCTATTATATACATAATATATATATATATTTCCTTTTTATTTAAAGCATAAGACTGAGTAAGTGTTGTGTTTGTCAGCAACAATATGTCTTTATACTTTACAGCTTCCCTACACAGCCAATATTACAAAACTACAAGTTTTTATTTCTGTTGTGATTTTTTAAACAGCTTGTCACCAACTGAGCATACGTATATGTAGTCCTATAAACATGCTCATAGATTTACTGCCATCGTTAAACTGTGTAACCAAAACAACCTATAGCTCTGGCTGCAAAGAAAATATTTTTTGGGGGGTACATTTTGTATTGGTTTAGGTCTTTTCACTTGATTTTGCCATGAATATAAAATATTGTTTTACTTTTATAAAAACAAAAATATATTGAGATAAACTGTGTTTATAGGCAACCTTACATCTGCATCACTGCATCATGATATCTGGATATCTATTTTTTATATGAATGTTGTTTACCACTTTTTACCACATTTTTACTGGACAAAACTATTATTCATTGATTCATGATCGTTCAAAAACTAAGTTAGATGATGATAATTCATATTTTCTATATAAATAATGGAATAGATGATAATATAAAATGTGAAGGGGGATGCCAGGGTGATGAAACACAGATGACTGGTGACAAAATGGGGATTTGCTTTTCTTTTAGGAGTTGGTGGAGACCAAAATCAGAAATGAATAAATTTTTGTGGCCAGAAACATGACTTTAAACATGCAGTTTGTTTCTGCTGCTGCCAAGTGGCCATACAAAATAATGAATGCAGGATTTCAGACGACTCAGTAAGCATTTGATTTCTCAGAGTAAGGTTTAATAAATTAAAGTGATCATGCACAAGTTGTTTATAAAAAACATTACATTAAAAAAATTAAATTCACAAATAATGCTGTTTATAACACAATAGAAATGTTACAATCAGGCAAATGTACCAGTGTCTACTCAGTAACAGGAAAGGCTCATTCAACTAAGCACTGCAGGTTACAAACAGGAGATAAAAAAATACAGCATCATAGAAATTACCCAAGATAAATCAGCTTTTTTTTTTTTACATCCAGCTATGCAATGTTTCACAGAAAAAGCTGCGCAGAGGCAGCTGGCAACGTGAACTAAAACTTCTACAAATCAGACAAAAGCAAAATCACAGCGCTACTCGATGTTTAACACATGCTGGGTCACGACTACAAAGCAACAAAGACCTCGCACCATGCATGCTGGTATGTCAGCTTCTGAAAATCCCCCGACAAAAATGGGGAGACATAGAGTACGTACAAGTGTCAGGTTCATCATCCACGCCCAGCACAGGGGAGGACAGATGTTGGGTCAGCACTAGTCCATACAAAGGGCATTTAAAAAAATCTATCAATAGATGTAATACCTTAGACTGTGGTGACTCCACCCCCAACCCACTATCCAGAAGTGAAGCCAAAATGTTACAAACACTGCCATTTTGTTATCCTGAGTCAGTTTCAGCTGTCAGTCATGATATTTAATCCTGTTTTTACAGCTTCAAATAACAAATTAAAGCCAAACATGCCTGGAACTACCTTAAATGACAGAAACCATCTTGGAGAGAAATTTATTTCACATATTTTTAGTTAGTCCCATCCACCAACATGGATGAGGTGGGAATTATGAGCAATACTGCAACCAGCCATCAGATGGTGACCGAGACGCTTTGGCTTCACCTTTGGGGAGCCATCTTTATATACAGTCTATGTGTAATACAAACAGTAATCAAGTCTTTACACAAAAGAATGATTAGAGAGCTGTTGTATAAAAGTCCTGATCTGTGTTCAGAAGAGCACGTCTTCGTTTTTAATGAGCGCCTCCACCACCTGTCTCTGGTAGCGGATGTCGTTGAGTGCTGTGATGGCGTCCAGGTCCGGTGCGCTCATGAGGGTGGGACTGAAAACAATGGCGAGGTTCTCTGCGTTCATCAGGTTGAATTTTTCATTCTGCGTTACCCTGCAAATATGAACAAGAGTTAGAAACTTACACTGATGACTGTAGTCCTACTTTCTGTTAAGATGCAGGATGTAATGAAGGTGTTGTAGAATAGCAACATTTTGTTAAACCCCTTCCTCTAACCATTTTGCCACAGTCCTTAAGCTCTCGCCACTCGAATGGGTTGCTCACCTTTTTAAATGTGCCATGAGGTACTTGAGAGTTTCATTGTGTGATGGCGGCAGCAGAGCAAGAGCCTCACGGAAAGCCTCCAGCTTCTTCTCTGGGTCTGTGAGCTCTGGGAAACAGAAAAGAGCAAGCTGTTCGAGAGAGGTCTGAATACACTCAAAAGACGCATCAGAAATCAATGCAGTTATCTCCTGTGGGGTAATAAAAGCCATTAGTCACTGAGTGGAAGTCTGAAGAAGCCAAGCTGCTTGATAGAGTTTATGCAAATTAGCCCTCTGCTCTCGAGTCTGTGGTTGTACTGACTTTAGCCGTTTTTCAGACCTGAAGACCAGAAAATGTATTATTGCATTTCACATATGAAGAAAGCAGCAGGAAATTGTTCTGGTCAGACGAGAAATGCTTATACTCATGTATTTTTGTTTACATCACATCGACCCTTATCACCAAAAGCTCTCAAATCTCATTCTCTTTCCAAGTTGGCATCTTCTACGTGTATGGGAGCTCTGTTTTGTGTGTGTCGCATGTTGGAAACCTCGGTAACGCGCCCATTCACTAGCGGTGAATCCTCCTGAACAACATCCTGCTTTATTCTCACATGGGTTCAATCAGACATTTTACCTGAGGGCTGACAGACACAAAAATCACACAAAATGTAATTGACTCTGACGTTTGCTTTCTCACAGACAGCCCCTCCCGATGATTTCAGGAGGATATCTGGAATTCAGTGCATGTCTGAAAAGAGCTTTTGTCACCACATCGATTCAAGGCTATAAAGTGTAATAGGGACTGCTTGCCATCTTTAGCTGCATCAAAGCCTAACACACTGAACAGAAAAGGAGTGTTTCTATCTAATTTGTCAGGCTGTGACTCACTCGCAGCCTCGATGAACCTGGGGTAGGCGTCGTATGAGATGACGGGAACGGGCAAATCCCTCAGGTACAGTTTGAGTGCACCCGTGATGATATTGATGTCTTCATAGGCGTTCACTGAGATGTCTGTCTTCTCGCCATCTGTGAGGATGTGAGAGGGAGTAAGGAAGATAAGCAGAAGAAAACTGTCACACTTAAAAAAGTGGCTCACATCAGCACTTTCACTTCACACTGTGAACTGAGGAATGTGAAAAGATATCTACTCTCACTCTGTATTTTATTTATTTTTTGCAGAGTAGCTGCTATCATCCGCCTGGCCTGTTTTATTCTGACTTTCCCTCTGTTATGCATGCTTTCCAGAGCAGGCCATGGCCTACTTGTGCTGGCAGACTGAACATCACAGTGCTGTGAGCTGGAATGACATTCTGTCATGGATGATATCCCACATGCGGATCTGGCTAAGAGTTTATCCCACTGCTGCAGGGTTTTTCGTACAGTTAAAATTCATACTGCATTTGGCCGAGACAGGCTCGTTCTTACTTAGACTACTACTGAATCCCAACACAGCGGAGGAGTCTATTTATTCACAGATACGTTTGAGGCAGTGAGAGTACGTCCACAGTTTGAATCTCCTCGAGTCACCTCTGTCTGCCCACACTGCAACCCTGCGTGAGAGCGTCATGTCAGGATTGGATCTGCTCTCCCAGATGGACACTAATCCCTCACTAATGTGTCACTTTCTCATTAATCTGAAATGTACTGTCTGTTAACATATCCACGCACGCAACGTCAATCGTTGTGGTGCTGTAAGCTGACAGAAATCTATAACACAAGGGAGGCGTACCTTTGTCGAATGCCATCTTGACTTCCTCCACTGAATCACTAAATCCAGATATCCTGTAGAGGCCTTCAGACTTCAGCCCTTGAGGAACACACATGAAATAAACAACCTTTCAGACATCGTCAGGGCTGTCAACGGGTAATGTAGAAAAATTCACCTGCACACATCGCCTTGGGTAATTTAGGGAAATGCCATTAAACGCTCTTAAATATGCATAAGAAATTAAGGATAAAATGTCCACAATGTCACACAAAGGAACAACACGGGCAGATGCAAATCGTTTTCTGCATCACTGGGCAAAATAATAAAGACATAAATCAAACTTAGCTACAGATGTACATGTATTAGAGGACAGACAATGAGGGAGCGATGAGTTTCCTACATAGCTGAATGATTTAAATGAAACACAATCAACAAAGGCAGCAGGAAAAGGACTAATGTATTCCTCATTACAGGTTCACAATTACCAGCAAACTCATCAGTCCTCCCAGTCCACCACCCCCCCACCAAAAAACATTTAGTTATAATGAAAAATGACTTTTAGCACTTCAGCCTGCACAGTATATATTGTTTATCTCTTACTGTAACTTAAACAAAAATAAATACAGTGATAAAAACTTATTTTCATATAGATTTTATAGGGATTAGAAAACTGATTAAACTAAAAATTATAACATTTTCTAAAAAAACACAATTTTATAGTAACTTAATATACATTTTCTGACCTGAGTAGACATGAGCTCCTAGAATAATGACTGAGTGTCTTATTGAAGCAAATAAAGCACAGGGGCGTTGCAACAGGGAAGGGAAAGCAAGCAATTGCCATTGGCTTTGAGCTGAGAGGGGGCCCCCCCTAAAAGTATGTTAGACCACAGCAACAACAATTGTGTTCCACCCCCCCAGGTTCCTTTAGCCCTTGAAAAAGCACCATGAGTTTGGATCTGATAGGAAACTGAACACATGAATTAAATTTAAATACTATTTTTTTCATAGGTTTGAAATATTTTACTTCGGCAAATCATTTTCAAGTTGTACAAATAAGAAACCTTCATATTAGTTAGGTATTATAATCATTTTGTACATTTTATAAAGCCATATCATCGAAGTCTTTGATGTTCAAGTTGTTCATTTTCATTTAATCATTTTCTGTATCTGAAATTAAAGTCAGGTAAAAAAATCAGGATGTTTAAATAGGACTGGTTAACTGTTCTTATTTTAAGTTGTGGTCTATAAGATGCATTTAAAACAAACATGTGCACACACACACACACACACACACACACACAAACACACAAGTGTCCTGAACAAACCTCTGGACTCGATCTCTCGTATGCACATGTCCACCACCATGGGCCGTGCTGTGTTATAAGCTTTGACCAGGGTGGTGAGGTCACAGCTGTAGACTTTACGGATGTGTCTCAGGTCGGGCTTGCAGTCATCAGGGACCAGAGATGAGCACTGTTTGTGGACGTTCAAACCACAATCTACAAAGAGAGAGAGAGAGAGATGCAGCAGATTGAGTTCAGGGGTGTCTGCAGATGGAAATTTGTCAACCAGAAAACAGAGTCAACAGAATGATTCCAGTCGGTTCAGTCATTAAATCTCAGAGCTGCAGACTATTATGTAAATTTAAATTCAACATCAGGTTCATTTTGACTTGGTCGGGTGGTTTCGTGTGTGTTTTGGCTTGAAGAACAGTGTTAATTCCCCTGATCAATATTTGTCTCCTGAATGTCACGAGACCACTGGAGAGCTGCTTTCTCTCCACCAAACGTGGCCTTGGAGTCACCTTGAGCACTGGATAGATTCAAAGTCACCTCAAGATTATTATTTTTAATATCCGTGATATCAAAAATAGTCAAATAGAACCATAATGAACCAGATGACAAGAAATGAATCTTATTTCTTTTTCCTAATTTGAATAGCAGGTGAAAGAATGTAACAATAACAAGGTAACAGAATGTGGAAATTTGGCTTTCAAACATTTTTCACCAATATTAGAGATGTAAGATATAGAATTAATTTCTTTAAGTATCGCATTATAGTCATGATGTCGTGTGAAAGTGTCCCACACTGTGTTTTGTCTTTAGTCACAGTGGACGGGGCCTGAAGCTCCACTGTTCCAGGGCAGGATTCACCTTGTGGGGAACAGAGAAGCCTGTGGAGAGCAGATGTATGGGGAAGACTGCAGCTCTGCTTTGTAACAGAGATGCATGCAGGGAATTAGAGGAACAGTGAGAACGCTGTGGCCTGGAGGAGGGACAGTGAGCACCGCTGCGCACTCTATTCTTCTCCAGATCCAAGCTCACACACAATGGCTGTGGAAGCAGCAATAGAGGCGCTGCGGGCTACACTAGACCTAGTTTCCCAGACTAAAATGGGGCAGCTCTTCAAGCTCTTAGATCTTTTGAGCTCTCTCCAAATTCTGAAAGATTTTTTTTTTTGACAAATGCCACGAGCCTTTGATTCCAAAAACATAAAAGAAATATATATTTTGATCGCTCATAAGAGGTGATACTTTTCAATACTGAATAAAATTCTCCAAGAATCCATTGCCTCTGCAGGACCTTAGACAATATCTAGATTAATATGGGTCCCAGGAGAAATTCAGCAGGCCTGCATTTATATTCACTGATGCAGAAATCTAATTACCTTAAGAGATGATTCTCTTAAGGATATGAGACAGGCGGTATAATAGAGGAGATCCTATCATCAGGCAGAAGTCTGCTGAGCTCCTGGCGTCCATGTGAGCTCACCGAAGGCCCTATGGGTCCCAGGTGGGGCGGGTGAGGGTGAGACAGGCACCCGAGGGACACCGGGAGACAGGGGGATGCTGCCTCACTGCACCATCAGCTCTGTCTGTGTTGCTATGGGGTTATGGGCGGCAGCTCTGTTTTGTGGAGGTGATGAGAGGAGGTTTAATGGTGGGTGGCTGCTAATCAGCACATTATCGCTGTGTCTGAGTTACCAGTTGAAACCGGTCTCTCTCTCACAGGATCTGAAAACAAAGCACCACTCGTGTTTTATTTTGATGTTTTGTTTTTGGAGTTTTTCTCCCAAAATATTTAAGTTAAATAGGGGCTGAGCTGCGTGACCCAGCTCTTTAGTTGAAGCCGCTGTATTGTAATGTGTGTGGAAACGGAGCTCTTTCCCCACGCTCCGAGCTCTGCTCCTCATTAAAGAGACATGCCAGCTTTGTTTTCCTTCATGGGCATGATGGGATGAGGCTGGGGGGGTGGACTCTGATGAGGAAATGTGGCACAACAAGCTCAAGCAGAGGCTGGCTTTCTGGCACTCGTCCAAAAAACAGTTTGCACATTCAAAAGAAGAAAGGGGGCGGTGGAAAAAGACTTTTTTTGGTATGCAAATGAGATCATCATGTGAGTCCTCGCTGGCCTAGATTCTGGGAGCTGTGGTCGAGTCTGAAGGAATGGTGGCCTACCAGTGGAGGAAGATGGGCTCCAAACATACGGGGCCCTTTATTTTGATATTGTCAGCTTTCAAAATCCAGACGTTAATAATTGATATCAGCACTCCCGCAGATTTGTGTGACACACTTTGTTTCATCAATAAAACATCAAACACACATCAGAGTGCATCATCGCTCTATTCTGGGAAGGGAGAGGAATTCTAACGATGGATACAATAAAATAAAAATCTCTGGTTGACACGAAAAGAGACAAATCTAACGGAACCATTTTATTTTAGTCACAGAGCTGGATATGAGTATATTTAATCTTTCACACCATATAAAGAAATATTTATAAATGCTGAACATTCTCTTGGAGTGGAGTTGAATTGTTTTTAAGGAACAAGGGGCTCATTGTTTGTTGAGCTGTGTGTCATTCGTTCATCATATTAAAGAGACTGGAGCTTAAACCCGAATTTTATTCAGATGTATGGGATGTAATTAGCCGTATGTTGTGTGTGTGTTCTCTGGTTCATACTGCTGCTGATTTTTATCTGAAAAATGTTTGTTATCATCTGACAGATGTGAGTACTTGTTATTTGTGAAAAAGAAAAATGAGCAATACTTTGTCACCATAGCTTAAAATCCATTCTTCTGCGTGTTTGACCATTCACAAACCCGATGAAAAAAAAAGTGGGTCAAAAATAACACTCAGCTTAAACATATCAGTTGCATCACATCTATAGAGCCACCAAGTCCATCAGTCAGTTATACAACCCATAATCCACAAACCACTGTTGGGATTTCAGATTAAAATGGAATAATCCAGCACCAGATGCACTAAAAACCAAGTAACCTATATACAGTATAATGCTCACTTTGTACATGAGTGCAATGAGGGAGTGTTGTGTGAAATGATTGAGCAGTTTACATAAGACATGTGTTAACATATAGAACATCACGTACCGGCACATTTGACCCCCTGGGCCATCAGTCCCCACATGAAGCTGGCACAGTGCTCGCACCAGTGAGGCCCTCGGAAGGTGTGGACCTACAACAGAGAGGAGGACAGTGAAGGACGTTAGCGATGAAGAGCGGCGTCAAAGCAGCAGGTAGTTCTTTCTACGGACACCTCATCCTCCTCACAACAGGCCCGAAGACCTGAAGGTGCTGCCATCTTAAATGAGGCAGAGGAGGAGGATTGTTGTATACACAGACCCTCAAACTGACAACACTGAGGCGGATGACTCAGAGCATGGGGAGGCCAGGCCATTATGGCACAGTAGGGTTTTGACATTTGGTGGAAGTTGTCAGGGAAATTTTGCTATGGAGACAATAAGAGGAGCCGTGATGCTCGCGTAGAGCTGGGAACCACTGCTCTCCACCAGGTAACAACAGCTCAGCCAATCAGGGAGGCCTGCGGGAGCGAGAGCAAGCACACAACTCCCCCGGTTCTTCTGCATGAAGTCAATAACAGATACAGGCAAAAGAGACGTTTGGAATAGAACTGCTTTTTCTGTTGTCCACAACCACTGTGTCACAAAAAGTAATGATCAGTAATGAAAAGCAGTGATTTATAAATAAATATAAATCATATTTTTTTGACTGCATACGATCATGTAATTATTCTTTATTCTGCTTTTGAATCGTTGTGTCATGCATTTTTATAAGTAATAAAAATGTTAAAGTGTAGCTGGTTAGTGGATTCACTTAGAGTAATTAATATAAGAGGTTGGGATATAAAATGTAGGGGTCAAACTGAAGTGTTGCTTTATAGTGTTGAATAAAAGCCATCTCTGCATAACCCAATTGAATAATTCAAACAGGGAAGACAACACAATACATATTTATGCCCCAAGCTTTGCCATATAGAGAACAATAAAGTTCAATATGTTCATCAATTTGTTTGCCAGGAGCTTACTCTGAAAAGTTTTGAAGTTAAAAGATTTCACACATGTTATTGAAGTCTTATTGTATCTTTATTATAAACTCACACACATGTTAAGCCCCTCCTTGGTTGTGTGAGCTTTAAAACACAGGAACTGTTGTGAAAAGCAACATTCAGCACTGTGAGGGAACAAAGCAGCAGAGACAGACCAGTGAGCATCAGCAGTTTGAAAGCCTTGAAGGTAATATATCACCCCCTGCTCTCCATCCCATTAACCAGCCAAACTAGGAGAGTCAGCGTGAGCCAAACAGGGATATACTCCTCCACTGTTTCCCCTCTCGCTCGGCCTAATCTGTCCATCTGGTGCTCAAAACTAACAGCAGTGGACCACCGACCACCCGACAGATTTTCTTTTGATGAAGGCTCACTGGACAGACCCATACAGCTCTGTTTTTCAATCTCTCTTCTGCTCAGTAACACACCACCCCCCTCTGGTTCCATCTACCTCAAGGGAAGCATGAGCAGTAGCCCTCAGGCCCCATATGACGAAATTAAATGAAACATTTTTTGGAGATGCAACAGCTGACAAGAGTTCTTTGAGCGGATTTGGCCTCACCTTGAAGTTGTGGACTTTCTCAGATTTGGGCGTCCGGTCGCTCTCCCTCAGTGTCGCTCTGCGCACCAGTGAGGTGAGCTGTGAATAGGCGAACAGTTTAAGTGGCTGCCAGAAAGCGGCTGGAGGTTTCTGTGGCCCCATCCTCATCCCCAGAGCGGCAGCCAGAATATCCTCCTGATTGGCCTCTCGCTTGGCCTTTTGCACCAGGGACTTATCCTCCTTGTGAACCTCGTAGGACTCTCTGGATGGCATTCTGCTTCTGCTGCTGCAGTTTCCCAAACAAGATCACGGAACAAATCCAGTAGAAAAGTAGAAAGGATGAAGGTGAAGCTCCTTGATGCTCAGAGCAAGTCTGCATCAAACGATATTACTTGCATTGTCCCAGTTAAACAGAGACATCACAGAACACCAATTTAAATGATAAAAAGAGTCTGGAGTCCGAAAAAGAAAAAGTAAAACAGTGGTCCTTATTAAATCCTCTCACAGCAGAGACAGTGGATCAAGTGGAGCCCTGTGTAGTAGGGGTGCCAGGTTTTATACAAAAGAGATGCAGCCCTGGGTGCTCATGTGCTTCTCTGGGAATGTGTGTATGCAGATGAGCTGAGTGGCTGCGCTAATCCTCTCCTCCCTGTGCAGAGCTGATATTCTCCCTGGAACAGAGACGGCACAGTGTTGTGTACGGATGCTGCTGCCGGGGCAATCAGAGCGAGGGGGAGGAGCGCAGGGGCGGACCCTGTAGCAGTCACAGCAGATTAAACGCATCCCACCAGCCAATAGCAGCATGGATGCACTGGCTGTATGGTAGCCACTATGCACCCCGCCCCCCACACAACCATCTCCATCAGATATCCAAGCTAGGGAAAAGGGGGGGGGCTGTATGGTTAGGATGAACTGAGAGTGGGATGATAATGAGCAATGAATGAGTCATGCATCAGGAGTGGGCTGCAGCCGGCAGGAACTTGCGACAGCAGTGGGCCGTTAAAGAGAGAGAGAGAGGGGAGCTATTTTCAAAATCATGTTGCCACAGAAACTGGCCAGGACCACAAAAGAGAGAGAACGCCAAAGCACCAAGCACCCAGGAAACATGTGAGGTCATCGATATTTACCCACCTTTTCATACAGAGTGGTGCTCCAGCTTCCATTCAGATCAAATATATTCTTTGATTTTTAGCTTCATCTGGATGGAAAGAAAAAGAAAAAGTCATGAAATAACAAACAAGGAGAAACATAGAATATTGCATTTTAATCAAATCATCCATGATGAAACAGCTGTATGCATTTATTCACCAATGACGGTCACATCCCAGCGCTCTGCTTGAGAAGATGCATGTATATTTTTTATCCCTTTAATGATTTTTCTCAGTGTTTTTTCAAGATTATGTGAAACACTTTGAATTTTTCCTTGTGTATGAGACATGCTTTGTTGTTTACGATGCCTGAACCAATAAACAATGTAAATATCGCCCCTAAAGGAATCAGAAACAATCATTTTAGATTTCATATAACAATCAGTTCAATCATTTTGAAATATCTATATTCAATGACACCAGCAATTCCTCCCATCTTAAAAAAAATACATAAAATATACAATAATGAATTTAGAAACAGAGTCTTTGTCTGTCTTTGTCTGAAGGTTCAGCTCCTTGATGTTCACACCAACCGAGCATCGTGTTATGTGTATGCAAATGAAGTATCAAATATAGCGTCACACAGGGTGATGTGGGAGAACGGATCCGCAACCAGCTTCTGTGTTTCACACTTCGAGTCAGATGTGATTATGCTCCCACGTCTCTGAGCCTGATTTAGACTCAGCTGTTAAAGTGCAGTGTTCTCACCTTTATGGAGCGCAGCAGGAGAGGAAGTGACTGTACCGGCTCTCCTTAGGAAATCTATGAGGAGAGATGCTGTAATGTGCTGCTGCCCTGAACCTCAGCAGAGAGGTACCACGATGTATATGAACAGCGACGGGGGGGCAGAGACGTGGGGGCTTTGAGTATCGTTGCACTTATGCAGAATGGCATTCACCAAACTGTGATGTCTGACAGGAACATGAAAGATGGGAAACGCAGGAGCTTCCCCGTGCAGCTTCCCTCTTCTCCTGCTCGGTGAAGAGTCTCTGCTCAGGAGGGCACCTGAGAGCGGTGGAGATAAAAGGACAATAAGAGCCTTTTATTTGCACCACTTCATCCGCTCAGACCCGGAGCACTTTAGAGGGGTTTGCTGAGGCCTAATTGTGTTGCCTGCTGTTAAGTGCAGAATGAGCGTCTGACTCCCAGGATGTGGTTTACTTTGAACGCAGCTCTAATTGACACTGATTGATTTGCTTGTTTCCCAAACATGTCCAGAGATGGGACTCTAGAGGACGGATGTATACGGAGCGGTATCTCTTTACATCTCTGCAACGTCCATCTGTGTCCAGCCTGATCATCTGAGCTGATCTGAGAGTTTGGCTCGTGCCTCTTGTAGGATTTGTGCTTCAGTTCAGTCTTGCTATTATAAGCTTTTAAACTGATTTGAGGAAGAAACTAGGACAAAGTCTCAGGCTACATCAACACTAGACTTTTAGAGTCACTGAAACAGAGACGTTTAGAAACGCTGCCGGCCTCGTTTTATTTTGAAAACTCTCGAGCTGCGTTTTGATCTGGAAGGACAGAAACTGAGGTGTTTGGAACAAAAACATAGACTCTTGCAACCTGATTCTTCAGGCTCATATCAGATGTGAATGTAAAATAATCCATTAGAAGTGTTGCTGACTCTGTTGTCTTTGCTACACTAACTGTAGTGCAGGTACATTTTGCAATCTACAATAACACAACTACACACATAAGGGGAGATGAGCTATTATTCAAGCAGCTCCTGTGTAGACAGCATGCACAAGACCAGTGTGTGTTTTCAGGTGTGTTGGCATGGATGGGGATCAAAACTGATACAGAGCCAAACAGCTCGTGTGGACAGAGATCATTTTTGTGTGAAAAAGCCATTTTCAAATTCAAGGTAAGAATGTAGCCTCAAACTTTCACATTCTTTGCTTAAACTTTATTCCCCCCCTCCCTCCTTTGATCCATTAAGCTGCTGAACATTGTGCTGACTATTTCTGTGGGTTAGGAACATTTCCTCTAATGCACAGCTGACCCAGCAAAGACATGAGGATCCATTAAGAGGACATTGGTACGTATCCACTCGGACTCTCAGGGCAACGATTTCCATCCCCATCTCTCACATAACACACTTTGTTGGGGTTAAATAACGTCAGTTCACAGCTAAAGCAAAACATCACAACAAGTTTCAGCAGCATTCAACACTAAAAGCTTTTGAATTGATGTCAAATCTCCTGATCCACCGACTTCATCCTTCGGGAAAAGCAGCAAATCATTAAGTTATGTAACGTTACATAAGCAGAATGTAGAGCAGGATGAGGAGTGTGAGAGCGAGGAGGTCGAGATGAGGTCCAAGAATATAGAGGAGTTATGTCAGCGACTGGGAAGACTGCACACTGAGAGCTTTCACTGGAGCTGTACATAACATACTGTGTGAAATGTATGAAATAACCAGGACAGATTAAAGTCAGCATTGCTTCTACACCCTTTAACGATTTAAAATGCAGCAAATAAAACGTAAAACAAACATTCATTACATAAGCATTCGATAAGGGATTTGGGGAAAAAAGCACAATGTCATTCAGAAACGTAGAAAGATAGAACATAACATATGCATCATTTTAGTGTACATTAGAGCAACGTTACCAAGTAGCTATAAAAGCTAAACCAACAGACATTAGGAAATTGCACCCGACTAAATGAAATTACACATTACACAGTATATTACACACTGTTTTTGGTTATTAATTATAATAAAAATTATATGATACAACGAAAAAACTAATGTTTAAAATACAGAAAGGGCAAAAATGTCGGTCCAGGTATGAGTACACTATAGTGACATTGTATGTGCATGTTTGTGTGTGTGTGTGTGTGTGAGAGAGAGAGAGAGAGTAAAATGTGGTTATTTTGCTGGGCTAGTGAGAAACCAGGAAGAAATGACATCATAGTTACTGGGACAAATAGATTACCTGTGTGAAGCTGGACCGGTCTGTGCTTTGACAGTGATGTATGGTGGCTTGCTATCAGGGTTAACTCTCGGTGCAGCAAGGTCTGAGCCTCCACACTCACATGCTTCATAATGTAAAGTGTGAGGTTAAGGTCGCAGCTGCTTTTCTAGCTGTGGATTTAAACCATTTTACTCTTGAACAATAAAAACCTGCATGAACAGTGATTGAATTTAAAAATCAATTGAAATCAAGAAATATTGTTCCAACTGAGGGAACCAGTGCTGATAGACCTATGGTATAAAGCTGAAGCATTAATATTGTAGTCTGAAAATACTACATAGTGTGGGTTATAACAGTAACTCATTGCTTCAATGATGTGGAAGCAAATTAGTGATGAAATCCCTGCTGTCACACATACGACAAAAAGTCTGTACCCTGAATTGTACTGGTGGTTTTAAAGGTCCAGTGCGTAAGATTTAGCTGAAAAGGATCAATTGGCAGAAATTGAATATAAAAACTTTCACCCTTGTCTACTCATCTAAATTCAAATACTTTATGTTTACATCAGGGGCAGGTCCTCACTGGGGAGGCTGCCATGTTTTTTACAGTAGCCCAGACTGGACAAACTCCACACCTTTTGAGTTTTGTATGACTATAACTGAAGGCTACCACAGGTTCTCCGTCATGGAAGGGCAGGGTGAGGTGATGGGTATTCAGCTGCAACATGCAACTTTACCAATACATGTCACTAAATCCAACACACTAAACCTTTAAGAAATTAAATTAAATTAAAGTCTTCAACTATCAATTTATATATTTTTATCATGTATTAGTGATGAATTTACAACCAAACCTCACAGCTAGAGACAGTCAAGTAGACATTCTGCCATTAATCTTATCTCGAGAGACAATTTGGTCACGATGAAGGAAATCACCTGCTTTTATGAAGAACGACTGTGTGTTATATGGAATGACAAATGGTCGTGAAGAATAATTAAAAGGCTCGAGTGCTCCTTTATCTCTGTGTGAATCTGTGGAGAGCAGCCCCCCCCCAACAACAGCGTGAATTGCTGTGGTTGGAGCTTGATGAATGACTCATTGTGCATCAGCTATTTTGGCAACAGCCTGATGACAACAGGACAGAGTGATTTAGTTAATGCCTGAAATATTTATTCTGTCCTTTAGGTGCTTTAATAGAAAAGTAGAGCAAATACTATAAACAGGGAAAATAAAGAGGTTGAGTTTATTTATTTTGCAGCAGCAAAGGATTTGCTGATAATATGTTGTTAGAATTTTTGCCTTCTTGCAATTCTTAGATAAAGTCACATTTAACTGCAATTTAAATGAAAAAAAGTCCTTTATGTTAAATACTTTGCATTGAATTGATTTATTAAGATTAAATGTGTTAACAGCAAAGTGTTACAGATGATTGTAGGTTCGTTGTTTACCATGGAGCTTAGCCATGTTAGCTGCTAGCCCCAGCTTTCAGTCTTGTTGGGCTGTGTTAACCAAAAGCTCCAGCTCTGTACAGATTGACATTATATTATATTATTATTATCAAAGAAATAACTAAGTCTTCTTCTTCAAGTCTCCCACTATTGTCCTGAAATGTCCTGATTTAAAAACAGCTAAATTAGATACAATTATTTGGTGGCATCATCTTTCCAGATTAGTTTTGTCTTTATGCCAGTAAATCAATTTTAAAACACATCAGAGATTAACGTAACATTCACTGTTCTGAAAAGTGAAATCACGTCTGTGAAGGAGAAGTAACATTTTATATGCATTAGAAAAGCTCCCTGTGTGAGCATCCATGAATCAGAACATCACATCACACTGTTCTGGGATCAGAGATGGATAAAGCTGCCACAGTATATTCTAATTATATATATAATTCACTCTTATGTAACTGTACCTTCCTCCTCCACATCCCTGGAGAGAGAAAGGCTGAACCCTGCAGCCTCCTATAGGACAGAGAGTCTTCATGAGCGTCTCTTACACAATCAGCTCTGGTGAATAACAGGCACCAGGTCAGAGGTCATTTCTGTTCTCATCACATAAGAGTCATCAGACGCTGCACAAAGGAACATTTAAAACTCAGTAAACACATGTGGATCAGCATCTGGCATTTGAACCAGAGCAAGAACAGATTAAAGAAATCCTGAAAGACATTTGAACTATTTCATTCCCACACATGATATTCTTCAGATATATCCTGGGGCAAGATACAAATAAAGTCTATAATTCAAAGGTATGTGGAAATTCTCTTCCACGTGTATCTCTCGCTGAGGGTTTTATATTTTATGTAAATTCCTCAAAAAAATGTGCTAGTTAGATATTTGCTGTATAAACGCTTAACTGGGTTACATCTCAAAGCCAGTAACCAAAGGTGTATACAATTCAACATCCAAAACAGCATACACGTCGATATACAGTAAGAATCAAGCCTCAAATTACAAGTCAAAATGTATTTAATATTGACTTTTTTTAAATGAAGCAGTTCCACTGGGTATCACTGCTCATCTCAGCTGTTTTAAAACTCAACACAACTAAAACTGCAGCTTCTAATCGTATTCCCTCTGGTATTATATAACACATGTATTTCAAAGAAACTACCAAGATACTATTAGAAGAATATAAGGAGAGAATCAACTTGTGAAATAAAGCACTAACCTGATTTTAATGGTTTGAGCTTCACCCCTTTTTGATAATGATTTTCCATACAATATTATTTCTCCATCATTTCTAAGTGAGGTCTACACAGAGTGGTTTGGATGTACAGAATCTGAAAAACTTTATTTCTTTGTCATTTCAAATGTTACTCTGAGTGGGCAGCAGAATATGTTGAACTGTTAATTCAAGCAGCAGTATAATCGTCACACAATATTGAGAAAAGGCGTTTACATATTTAATTTTTCTCCCAGTTTTGAATGTCACGATGAAGACAGTCTCTAACATGTGCTTCTTATAGTAAAGATACATGGACAAATCTTTGTTTGAGTATAGAAATGTTAAACCCCTGTGGCTCTGTGTGTGCAGACAGGTGGTCCACAGTCGCCTCGGAGCAGCAGGGCTCGACTCTCTGATCAGAAATCTGCTCGCTGTCTGCTCCGGCTGAAGAGGACACAAACCTGTGGAGTGTTGACCATATTGTCTCTTATTATGTTTCACTGGCTGCAGGAGAACAACATCTGTTGAGAGTTGCCATGTTCCCATGAGAACAATGTTTCTGAGCCGGTGGACTTCTTTTATACGTCGCTGGTTATCTCACCGACTGAAATTAGCTGACTAGTCCCAGGAGGACGCTGTGTTAATAGATATTTGGGAAGCACTGATGTATGCATAATTTGATTAGTGCACTTTAAACTGCTCTACACTGAAAACGTATTGCTTTTCTCAGGAACAGAGCATTAGAAGAAATACATCTTAAAAGATATCTCAGTTTTGCAGAGAGGACTGGAAAAAAACATGACTAAAAAAGAAAACAAAAAAGAGAACTAATTATGTAACACTGCAAGACAGAGCTCTCCAGAGCTGTGGCAAAGTAGCCTGCAACCCTAATCATCCCTGAAAGTATTCTGGGCTCAGCTCATTAAAATGTCTGACGGTTTTAGCGACGTGAACATATTCTGCAGTGAACCACAGAGGAAGGAGATAGACTCTATTCTCATCGCACAAAGACGTGTGCTGTCTGTCTGAGAGCTGTTACATTTGGTAACAAAAGGAACAGGACGGCTGTGATCACCTTGAAAACTTATCAAACATCACCTCCAGAGTCTCTATTCCTCTCTGCACTCAGTGTTTAATGTAATAATGGATTTGCACGAACAGGCCCAAGAATAACTGTGTTACTCCTTTGTCCTCTTTAATGCATTCAAATTGCTGTTAGCCAATGAAGTGGTTGAGATTAAAAACTGATTTGAGTTTCTGTTCTGAATTCATGACCGTTTCGAGTTTCTGTTTTGTGACGGTGACTGAGTGTAAAGATGAACGACACATCTCCACTTCCTCCCACTGTTCAAAAATCAGGCCAAAATATCTTGGATGTGGTCGCTGCCATTTTTTGCTGGTGACGGTCACATGGTCCATCTTTACATACAGTCTATACTCTGTATGTCCTGAGATACATGGTGCTTTGGGCCGGATTAATGGAACGATGCTCTGCTATAGGCTGATTACATATTTTTTGATGATGTAATAAACAGTAAACAACATAAACAGTTTTGGACAAATTAAAATATCAATTTAATGATGGCACAAGTAAAAAAAACATCAAGAAAAACAGACAGGGAGTTTTTACTGAGCTCAGAACAGGTTCTCCTCCTGAACAGCAGCAGACACACTGTGTTATATTCACACAGCAGCCTGAGCTCTGAACAGTCACCTCCTGCAGCTTGTTTTTATCACCTCTGAGTTATTCTTATTATCAGCTCTTATTCTGCTCATCACACCTTGAATACAATACAGGTGAGGAATAAATATTAATGACAGTACTGGTTCTTAATCATTTTGGTTTTACCTCCAACAGGGTTAAACTGTTGGCTTGAGTAAATTGTTGTTTCTCTGCCTCATGAGTATTGACTTTGTCGTTTTAACATTTTAACAATGCTGTTGTGTTCACAGATCACATCAATTAACTTCTCAACCAATTGATTTATTTGCAACACATGTCAAAACAAAATACAATTTAAAATTACCTGGAATTATTCTTTAAAAAAACTGCGGTCAAATTAAATGTGTTTCTTGTGCAGCAGTATTATGGTGTTATGGCAGGTGGCAAAGGCAAAAATGATTGACACTGATTGCTGCATGAACAACAAGCCAGCAGATAGAAATGTATATGAATTTATATTTCTTCCACACACGGCTTTTTGGCTGCAGGCAGTTTTCAAATCAGCAGGTCATGAATATCAAATCATTCAAAATTACGCAGAGCAGAGAGATTGGTGGACATCTGGACGAGCAGGCTCTCACCATCATGCCGCCTGCTTGTTAGCATATCAAAAGACAGGAGTGTATTTCTGTAACAGAAAGAGAAAACAAACATCAGTTTAATGGAGAGACTGGAGAACAGAAAGAGTGGTTTAACTATAAAAATCCTTTTGTCTGGGAAGTTTTAGCCACTTGCAATTTACATAATATCCAGAATAATATGTTACACAAGCAGTGAGCTGTTGAGTGTAATCTACTGGGATTTTCACACAGTGCTGCTCATTGTTTATAACCGCTGAGGTCGAACCCCCTCTGAACCACTCTGAATACATTTCAAAAGCGATGTGAAAATTGTCAAATACGTCATCTCTTCCTGCGCCGCTCTGCCAACACAATCTCGCTCATTGTCGACACGCTGCCTCAGCTCGCCTCTGGCTGGTTTGCATTCTCCTCCGGAGGCCAGTTTCTAAAGAGTCAGATACAGTTGATTAATCAGAGGAGTAAACAACTCAAACTCATGATGGGTCAGATTTAAAGTTTGATGCAGGCTTCAGTAAACAAACAAAGGTCTTACCTAACTAAAAATGAATGACCGACCCTCATGTCTATTTAAGGAGAACTAATGCCGCCATGGTTACGTGATTTCCAAAAGTACTTTGTTCTGCTCCCAGATCATTTCTATTGTAATGAGGTCACTAGAGTAACGCTCCTGCATACAGCCCCACTTCATGAGAGCTTAGCATCACATGACATGATCTTTAATAACACGCTCACATGATATGGACTTTTGGATTTTGATTTTTCAGAGGAAACTTAATTTATTAATTAATTTATTTTCTCTTGTCACCTAAATCACTTAATCAGATGTACAATAGTGACTGTTATCAGTTCAGGGTGTTGGGGCTGTGGGGTGGGGTGTGGGGATATACAGTGGTGGTTGTAAAGTTGAAGTCACATGAAAGGACTTGTGATCCATGTTTACTTAACAGCTGTGGCTCAATCTTTATTCTTGACTGTGGAATCATCTGGTGACAGTGTGATATGATGGAAAGCTCATTAATGGATCTCATGTTATGGTTAGGACAAATATATGAGTACAGTTCCCAATTGAACTCGCTGTCCGCTGAACTTTCTCAGGACCTGTGATTACAGCGAGTAGAAATTAGCTGATGGATCTCAGAGAATCCATGCATCTAATGTGAAAGGACCAGAGTGGCATAAAATGAGAAAGGCCCTCTCCACAGACAAATGCTCATCAGTTAATAAGTCAGTAAAATCATCATATCTGTCGTTGTTGTATCGAATATTCAGTTCTAATAAATGTGAGTGAATCATTTACTATGAGTGATGGTGCCTCCTTGACAGTTTTAAAGGGTTCATCCATCACCATAGCAGCCTTGAAAGTCAGTTTTCAGATTCACACTAAATGGAAGAGAAGTCAGACTTTTTACTTGCAGGCTCATTGTTTCCTCTCAGATGAACATTATGAGTTAAATGCATAACTAGTCTGTAACAAACAGCGTCAGCCAGAAATATTAGAAATGTGATGGTCTGCTACAGGGCTCTGAACTGGGCGGACTGGGATGGACTCCAATTCTTGGCCTGAATTATGATTCTGCCCCTGACCTGAACTGACATGTACAGTAACATGCATGTACGAATATAAAAATGATGCACCGGTGTGGTCAACGTTTCCCCCTTTGATCACAACAACTCGTCTTTGTGATTATCAAGCCTCTCCTCAAGCATTCTGATTATTTATGAAGCAGCCAGTCAGTAAGTTCACAAGCTGAACTGATTATTAACGGATCAATTGAATAACACACGGACACAGCCGATTCAAATAACAATTGTTTTGCCAAATAAATTCGCTGTATTTTCCCTTTTCCTTGAAAATTTCCCTGCAGCTTTGTGTTCTGTTAAAAAAAAAACCTATTCCCCAGTGTGACAGCAGAGAGAGCTGCAGCACAGAGCTCACAGTTCACTGAGCAGGCCGGCCGTCTTTACAACGGAGAGACTTATGAAGAGGACAAAATGATTGTGGTTTAAGTCGCCTCTTATTCCCCCATTATTGCTTTCCTGACCTTGGGAAAAGGAGAGCTGCAGTTTTTGATTGGACACACTGAGGAAATGCATTAGGTTTGTTTGCAATGAGATATAAATGTAATGAAAGGGTGAAAATATCACAAGTCTGAACTGATCAATATCTGTCATGGCTTTCATACACCAGAGCTGCATGTTTACACAAGAAGAGTGACGAGTGTGTCGGGATCACATCAGTCGCTCACAGGAATTTAGAGTAAATGTTACAACAGTTTTGTTTTATTTTTGTCTTTTAAAAGATAAAATAATTTGTTAGAGGGTTAAAGAGTGTTAGTAGAAACTCTGTCTCAAAAATAAAACAGTTACTGTTACATATGTTTCATTTACGCAGTAAAAACTTCTTTAGATCCCTTGGTTTAAACAATAGATTAAAAGTATTCAAATTGTGTATTTTTCCGCCATTATCCATCCAGAGGCAGTATCTTGAGGTAATATTGTAGTTTTGTATGTCTTATGTTGCTTTTACATTTTTTTTCGTGATGTTTTTTTTTTTATTTTACATTGAATTGTTTTGTTGAAATATCCTTTACAAATCAACCTGCTTTGCCTAGAGGTAATTGGTGTACTATGTTTTTCGTTATTTGGGTGAACTGACCCTTTATAAATGCAAATTCTCTGACATGATTAAAGAATTTATAGGAGAATTTAATTTAAATGTACGTATCACAAACATAGATGAAATAAAGGATAAAGATTTTGTATTTCTGTGCAGATGAAAGAGAAAATAAAACCCTGCTATCTTCAGTGTGAGGTTGGAATAAGTTCTTTGAGAAATCATCAAGAGATGATATTTGTCTCTTCAAAGTAATTTAGAAAATCCCCAAAAGCCTGTGTTAAAGCACAAACAGTAATTAGCCGTCACTTCATTTAATGGGTGAATGTTAAAACAGTGATTAGCTCGTCTTTGTTGTCTTGATTAATTCATTCACTGGTGTGAAAGCAAGCAGCTGCAACTCTGCTAATCATCGGCACCAATCATCACAACACGGCAATCTGAAAACTGTGATGTTATATCGACCAGCACTTTAGGACCAGAAGGTTTCTTATATCCTGACACCGCTGGGAATGTTTCAAGGTTTGATAAGAAACTGTGAGTCAATGCATTTTAATTTCCATTCGGCAGTCATGACGATTATCTCTTCGTTGTTTTTAAAATTCTGAATTGTACCGTGTTCTTTGTCATCAATGTTCTGGTGAATGATGGGTGGTATTAACAAAGAAGGGAGAGAGATGAATCATGGGGAAAAAGTAAAGGCAAAAAACAACACTGCAAATAAACTGATTCCTTCAAACCAAATCTAACTTGAAATCACTGGAAACATTAAAACAATATACATACCAGATTTATTTCTTTAAAATCTATTTCTTTCTAAGTGTCATCTTTTGCTGTCATTCCCAACAAAGGACAGACTCATCTAAAATATGATTTGTAAACAGTAGTAAATTATGCATGACCACCTTTTTAAGCATTGCTTTCCCCCTTTATATAATAAAATCCAAATAACAAAGCTCAAACAATACACAGAGTTGCTCTCATCAGCGCAGCAGTACAATGACAGTGGATCAGTTAACCATCATATTCCCCATGTCTGAATTCAAAATTGCAAATTGCTGCAACATTAATGTGACACACAGGAGCAAAACTATTGAAATAAATAAAATCATATAAACAAAAAATGATGCACCAGCTGCTTTCACAGTTCAGTGACAATACAGAGCCATTGTTAATATCATGAAGGTAAATTCATGTATTGATATCAAGCACGAATAATACTGATAATGACATATGTGTTGAAAACATGACAGAATTAAGGTTTAAATAAAGGAGGTTTAAAGAATTCAACCTTTTCCTTCCTGTAAAGAAATGCCATCAAAGACTGAAACCCTCGTAATCCTGATCCCAGTGCTTCTCATTCATCATTTCTGATGCCACAAATGTTTAAAACCTGGTCTTATGTTAAGAAGGTTCAGAACAAACCATGACAACAATAGTAAACAGTGTTTTTGTTGGGATCATTTTCAGCCTCAGATCTAAACTAAGTGTGAGAGGCTTTAGATTTACAGCAGCAAATGTTCGACTGACTCAATGGACGATGGGAAAACATCAGGTTTTTAATACAAATGCAAATTTAGTTGGTAAGATAACGTATTTTTATGTTTTGGGGCATTTTCTGGATCCAAGTGCAGATACAGAGACGAGCAGAAGTGGTTCTGTGACTTATCACAAAGATTTAACACTAAAGTGTCCATCAACACAGAAAACAATCGTAACTGGAGCCAAGGACAAAAACACAAACACACAGGGAGCAGAAACATGATGAGGAAACAGACACACACCTGAACAGCAGATGAACTGACTCACAGGACTGAGAGCACAGACACTGATCAACAGCTGAACTCAGGTGAAACACATGAGGTGCAATCACAGGAGATAGGAAACAGTACAAAGACAGGAAGTAACAAGGAAAGTGGCTTCAAAATAAAACAGGAAATGAGAAACTCAAAGACCAAAACCAAAAATCCAAATATACAAAACACAGTCCCAACAAAAATAGTCTTCCGAACACAAAGTCCCTCAAACATTCGACAAGGCGGCAGAACCATGGCAACATTATTGGTTTTAGTCTTCCCGTGGGAAAACATCAAATGTCACCTGACTTATTCTTTAAAAAGACTGATTATGTAAACTGTGAATTTGTGTCATATGACAAGTGAAGATAGTGTCTCCTGACATCAGGTTTGACTTGACAGCTTCGTCAACAGCTGGAGCAGCCGAGCCGAGGGCTTTATTTGGTCTCTGAAGGCCTGTCAGACAGACACGATCCTCGTTTCACCTCCATAACACCGTTTATGAGCACGAGAAGCATGAGACAGACTTTAATATAGCAAATAAAAGCACTGACCTCCGAGTCCCTGGTGTCATCTGATAAACCGCAGCAATAACACTGCCCTTCATGTGTGATGAGGAGTGCCCTCATTAGCTCTGCAACGCTCTTAAACATTTGATAGTTAAATCGTGGGTTAGCAGCTTCTTCTGTAATCCCATTAACTTCATCGGGCTGCAACCCCGTGGAGACAGTGTGTGTGTGAGACCATGCAGGACCTGGCTGAGACAGAACTAATTCTGTCAAATTGTGTGCATCTTGAACAGTTTAGAAAAAATATTCCATATAAGGATTTATGAAATCCACACCAGAGCGAGGCTGAGGTTTAAACCCATTTAGTAGATTTATGGAAATCCTATTAAAGGGTGACTGACTTGAGTTAGTGCTGTAGAAATTAGAAGATACAGCTGTTGTGACAAAAATGGTCTTAGCTCATCTTTCATGGTGAAAATAAAAATGCAACAGAGAGAATATACAGAGTTCCTTAGACCCATTATGGTTATTGATAAATAGAAACATAATTTATTAAGTTCATAAAAAGATATTAGTGGAAAATAAAACAACAGAGTGGCTCACAAACTATATTCCTGTGATTCACAATCTTCACTTTAATCCCACAAGGTCATTTCACTGGAGCCTTCATGCATGACCACAGACATAAAGATGGACGACACTTCTCCCCCTCCTCCTACTACCCAGAAATGAAGCCACAATATTCTGGATATGAAAGCCACCATCTTGCACATTTGGAGCGCAGTAGGGATCAGGGGAATGGAGCAGCGGCAGCGTGGTCCGGCCGATGTGTGCACTCAACCTGATCACAAGTCAGTCTCCCCTGTCTGTCTCTACAGCATCAAATAACAAAATAAAACATGGAAACATTTGCACCTGTACAAACATCAATTTGAGATTTTGAGTCTTTGTTGACCTATGTCCAATCTGCTAACCTGGAGGAGGCGGGATTAATGACCTATACTGCAGCCAGCCACTAGATGACAATCGCTTCACATTTGGGGAGCAGTCATGTCAGCCATCTTTAAACCATTTACAGTCAATGAGCACGTCAGTCAGACAAACCTGAGACAGCAGCTTCATACATTCAGAGTCAACTGAGACAAACATCCTTCAGAGGCAATGTGTTTTACTTCGATGATGAATGCACACGAACACAGCAGCAGCTGGGACAGATGTTTTTAAAGCTGTTTACTTTGCTCATCGCATCAAATTGGAAACTTAAACCTCCATATGATGCACAAACAATCAATAATTTTGTTGATGTGCTCAGCTACACACAGCATCTATTCACTGCTAGCATGTTAACACTAAACAAAGAGCAGGCTTCAGCTCTACAGACACTGATGGCTATAATTCACTGTCCAGGTATTTGGATATAAAGTGTTGGACAAAATTAAACTTGGATGAGATGATGGTGAATGAAAGATCAACACTTCAAAGTTATTATAGTAAATACTATAGAGGATCCCACATCTTGGAAACAATCAAGAAAATTACAGACCAAATGATTAATGGAGTAATCTGCAGACTTTATCTATACTGTGAATAATCATTAGTTACAGCTCTAATCAGCAAAAACAAAAGTGCGTGAAGGACGTATCTCATAAAGCAGAAGGTGAGCAGGTAAAAACTGGGACTGATTTATGGTCCAGTTGTTGTTTTGGTCTGATTTAATTAAAATCAGATTTTTTTGAAGGAACTTAGAGATAAAACCAAATCACCTCATGTAGATGGAGAAAAATCGTCAGGGGCTTGAGCTGCTTTTACTTATTTCTGACAACGATGGGAAAAAAACGAGGAATCCATCATGGTAACCACCGACCACGGGAATGTGTTCGGAGCCGGCTCGATAGAGCTCGGTACAATCTGTACAATATGGCCCACCGCGAAATGATCGACAGCGTAATGAGAGAGCTAATGAGGGGGATCAAGATCGCTGCCGAGCCAATAAATCAACACAACGGTGCCTGCAATGATACAGGAGCAATCAGTAACACTGGTCAATGCACAGGGAGCGGAGGGGGGGGGATGGTGGGAGTTAGGGACAGAAGGGGGGAGGGGAAACAGCCACCGAGGGGGAGGCCGCCACTGTAATGCAAGTCAATGTCAAGAGCACGGTGATGGTGTTTTATGGCTTTTGAAAGAGCACGGCTTCATTTTCTGTGCAGGAAAATAAAAATGAGCATTTTCTTCTCTCTGTTGAGCACAACCATGAAATCATTCAGTAAATAACTTCATGATGAAAACACATGAATATGGTGATTGATTAATAAGAATTCCAGTTGACTCCTCTTTGGATGAGATCAATGTTCAGATTCCCGCTGAACAGCCCGACGATCGATGAGGCTTTGAGCCGATCAGCGCTCAGTGAGGAGGATTCCCCTCGTGTAAGCATGTTGAAGCGAAAGGTCAATCAACACCTCAGCGCCTCGACACCTCAGGAGGCACCTTGGCAGCACATTTTCAAATCATTTGAGCACAAATTGTCCTCACGCTGAGATCACAAGACAGTTCCACTGCTCACACCGTGTGTGCCGATCGATATTTGTGAATTATGAATCAGAAACAAACATCAAGACAGTGTCCCCTTCGGATTCTGTCATGAAATAGGAAAGTAAGATGCCGGTGGAGAAGATGGCAGCTTCTGTCTCTGATCCAGAACAAAAGAATAAGAACACAAGCTGAGATCATGTGAAGTAAGGACGCAGCGTGTCTTTACACAAGTCAACAAGCAAAAGATCAAAACTGACAGTGTGTTGTCCGTCTCTCACTCTCTCTGCCTCTGGCTCTTCCTCACAAATATCTCCCGAAAACAGAAAAAATGTTTATCAAATAGACAAATTTGATATTTGCAGCAAATATTCCTCAAACTGTGGAAACTGTCCCTTTATTGAAGACTTTTCAGCCACAGATCCACAGTTTGAATCCCAATAGATCGGGAGTCAACCCCCTCACAGGGATCACATGAGGTGATTTTCAGAAGACAAGTAATTTATATCCGTCCTGTTTGTCCTTTGAGAAGCTGGGAGCAAACCCAGATGGCATTGAGAGAGGCGCCAAACAAGCATTCGTACTTAACCAGTGCCAATCTGCATGGATTTGGACTGTGGGAAGAAGCCGGAGAACCTGGAGACTCACCTGATCCACGTTCACCTACACGCCCCCCCCCCTCCCACTGACCCTACGCCCCCTGGTTTCCTCATTACCCCGCTCTGTATTTGTTCCTGCTTCTGTCACCAGCTCTTTGTCAGATCCTGTTGATGATTTTGTGCGGATCGTCCTGCTGCTTGTCGTCTGCTCTGCCTGCACAGGTCTGTTTTCTCATCATTAAAGTCTCTGTGCTGACTCTGAGCCTGTGTTCACCTCCACTCTGCCTCCCTGCAGCAAACCTGACAGATGGAGACTAGAAAGAAAAGAGGGGTGGGATGGTTTTCTTCAGATCGGAGATGGAATAACAGATGTTTCATGAGATTTCTTGTTCTATTTTGAAATATGTTTTTAGAAAGGCAAATTCACAACTTTTTTTTTTAGAATAAAGGAGAAAATGGGAGAAATATTTTAAATGCAAAAACTAAAGAGGGAAGATTTCTGTGCCGTCCCGCCTGGTTTAACCAGCGTGAGCAGCTGATGTGTCATCAGCACAGTGTGAGTGGAAGGACCAAACATAAAATATTGATAACAAAATAAGCAAATCCTCAAGGGAAGCGGGATCAAGTAACACGACCCCCACGTACAGGGATGGATAAACCATAGACCTTGATGCATGCTAATGTCAGCAGGAGACGTCCTGGAGCCTCCAGACGCACCATGAGGCCCCGGCGCCCAGAGGAAGGAAGTTGTGCTCGCTCCGTGTGCACGTGCACATGCCCGCTGGGGATTTGCCTCCACCCTTGCACTTGGCGAGCAGAGTTGATATTCCTCGATAATTCTATTAAAGAGATGGCATCCCTGGTGGCAGAGGCAAATGCCGGGAACAGTCGCCCTCCAATCAAGAGGAAAAGCAAACAGACTCAGTATCAGTGTGTGGAGGTTACAAACTGAAAATAATCAGCCCTTATCAGTGTTTGTAGAGAGAACACATTAGATCTCATCAAGAGTTCAATTAAATGCCCCGACCACGTGTAAAAGAAATATTTGATTCCTTAAATTTGAATGACAATGGAGGCCATCTTGCAGAGCTGCAGGCGGCTTTGTGCCCCATGTTTGGTTTGGGACACGACCAGTGTATTTACATAATCTGAATTAAATGTAAATCAAGCTGTTTCATCTCCGTCTCCCTGGATTTGAGGGTTAAAGCGTGTGCTCAGAATCACAGTGCCCCTCAGCAGGGGGACCAGAGTCCTCATTGTTGAGAAATCTGGAGAGAAGGGGCCCGGAGCATCTTCTTCTTTTTTACAGCAAACCTCTGCGTTTTTCACATTTACCCCTGATGCGCCCTGAAGGAGAGAGGGCGGCCAGTTTGTATTCATGATACAGTTTGTGCAAATGAGGCTGTTTGGCCTTAATCCTCGACTAATTAAGTGCCAGTCTGTCGAGGCAGCGTGTTATACCTGTCGAATTATGGGAACAGCTGGAGCAGCCTGTCTGTCAGCACATCAGCTCCACGTTATCATCATTCATCCAGAGGCTAAAACACGGACTCTCGACTTCTGCGGCTTGGTGGCCATCTTTACTCCTGTCGCCATTCTTCCCCAATTATGTCTGATGGCTCAGTGTGAATGGTTCATAATTTAGGGAAATGTGGAAGCTAGATGTACTTTTCCATTTCATAAACACAGAGTGTGGATTTTTACATTCTTCGGTTTGAAAGCTTTTCTTTCAGGCTGCATTAGCCAGAAAACGGAGACTCTGCTAAACACGGCGAACCCATTAATGAAAACCTCATGAAATTAACATTCAAATCATTATGGGATGAATAATGAATGGCACAGAGCTGTTTGCCAGGGGGAATTCAATTAATACAACAATTAAAATGAAAAGGCTGCACATGGAGGTGAAAGAGAATAAAAATTATCACTGTGGTGCCTTTTTTTTTTTTCTCTCCCTCTTTTGATTTGACTTCAAAGATGCTGAGCTGCATCGTTCGGTTCCAGCATCAAACCAAACCCGTTGTTGTTGTGCACCAACACTGTGACCTACATATTAACATTTACAGTTCTCCCCTCTGTGATCAGCAGCTAATCAAGGATGCCCCAGTTTGGCTCCGTTAGGGAGCGTCTGCATGTTGGCAGGCAAATATTTGTCTGTTAGATGAAAAACACATAAAGGAATCAGAGGGAGCTCATTCCTCTCAAATCACAGTTGACTCTACATACTGATGTTTTACTTATAACTTCACTCGAGTTTGACGTCATACAAGTTGAACTGGTGAAGATGTGTCGAACTCTTGGTGTTTTGAAGTAAATGTAAAATTTTAAAATGTGTTTTCTTCTTGTTTTCTTCCATTTGGACCTGATGCGATGACTCCAGTGTTTCATTCAAATTCTCTGGTAATTACCATAAATAACAGACGTGTTACGTCAGCGAGCGTCCAGGTGAACTGTAGGTTTGGATGTGTCGCCACCTGCTGGAAATTCAATACCGGTGCTACTCGAGCATTTGGAGAATTTGAATGCAAGTCATAGTTTTCATATTCAAATCACAACAGTTTGAATAATGCACATGGAGCTGTAAAGAGCCAACAAGTGAAGTCAGAGCTTTTCAGGCAATTGACATTTGATCTTGTATTTATCTCCACTCTGTTTAGTGAGAGGAGCAGCTGCTCTGCGGCTGCTGAGCTGAGTGCAGTGTTTGTTGAGTCCCAGTAGATTGTGATTCTGTTTGCAACAACAACAACAACAACAACAACAACAACAAGTGAATTCAGAGTTTTACATGAGACAGAAAAGGAGAAAACACAGGATTGAAAAGGTTCATAAAGCAATATAAAGACAAAATACATTTTAAAAAATGATTTAAAGAGAATTTGAAATGAGCGGCAATTTCATAAAACAAAAGGAACCAAACAATAAAAATACATGTTACCATTAGAAACCTGTGTAAGACATGAATACATAAACACAAATTATATTTCATAAATTAAGTTTGTTTAGAAGAACTGACATGTGGAGCAGACTTCAGTATCGTAGTGGATCAGTAGAGAGCTGAAGCTGTATCTATAACACTACATCACTTTTTCTAATATGATTCATCATATCTAAAAATTAATGACGTATAAAGTAGATTTACAAGAATTTTTTCAAGTAAAATGTTCATCATAGTTATGGAGCAGCACCTGAATAAGTCCAAATACCCCCCGATCTGGGCCTAAAACTTACCAGCAGAGAAGGCTGCGTTCAAAGACCCCACAACATTCACCTCACGATGATCTTACGGACACAGAACAACTGTATTTGTTACAAACGGCAATCTCCTTACTACCAGTGTTGAAACTAAGTACATTTACTATTACTATTTGTTAGAATTATGAGTTACTATGTACTTCCACTTCACTGTACTTCTGAATATATTTTTGTATTATTGCATTTATTCATTTTACAGTTATATTTATTAGTTTACAAATAAAAGAAATACTAACAAATCATTTGATCAATAAATCTAAAATATTCAGTAGTAGATAAAAGAGTTAAGAGTCGTGGAAATCGTGGTAGATTTACTAAAGTCAAAGATCAGAGTATTGTAGCACTGCTGCTATAAACATTTAGAAATAAAGGGTGAGAATAATGTGTGTAACACCTGGTTGGTCCCTGGAGTCACTAAGTTCACCCCAGGAGTGGTTGTAAAATGTGAGGGAAATAATAATACGATTCTTTAAAATAATATTCATTATTATTTTGCGGTAAAGTACAAAGAGTCTTTAACCTCCAGTTTTAACTCTATTGACTTTTTCGTAATGAGGTCGACACCAAATCGTCCACAAGGTGGCAGAATACACCACAAGAAATATTTCTGTTGACCTGCGACAGGTTTGACCTCAGTTATTGTCAATGCACACTGGATTCATGCGAGGTACAGAACATTGTCGTGTTAATACTACTGTAAGAAACACATGTGGTGTGGATTTATCCATTACCGACATTATCATCTTTGTAAAAGATATCAAATAATCATAAAACTGTGTGTTTTAATTTAAAACATTCACACATTTCCTTCAATCTATGGTGAAGAGATATAAAATCCACCTGGAGAATTAAACGCAGCCAAACCGGATTTTAAAGAGATATTAAAAGGTTTATTACAACAACTTAGCAATTCAAATTTTTTACAGAACTTTCACAAGTTACAAGAACACTTTCAACACAGTATCACACCCCGTTTTAGAAGTTAATTCAATAAATAAAAAACAAAACCTAAAGCTTTCATAAACCTCGAGCCGCAGCTCAAGTCGAAACAACTTGTTTAAAGATCTTTTATCTGACGGAGACATTATCGAACAAACAGTTAAATTCTCGCAGAGAATTGTTATCTCATGCAGATAGCACATAACAGTAGATTGAAATTAAAAAACATTCTTTATGAAAACAAGGTGTTAGCTTGTTGTAAAACTACACAGTAGTAAGCCCGTACAGACTAAGAGAAAAGGCAAATTGACTCCACGGTGTAATTTGCTTCGTACGATTATTTCAATGATGAAATGTTCACGATTCTTACAAAGCAGTAGTAGTTTTACTCTAATAGAAATGATTCCAGTTCAAATCTTAACAGGTCAGGAGGAGGTCTATCCTAAACATACAGGGTTAATGTGATAAAACAGAGCTACTGAATCCAGACTACCCTATAAAAAAGATAAAAGTACATAACACCTTGAAAGATCATGTACAATATGTCAGTGATGTCATTTACAATGTTTTCGAAAAACCTCGTCTAGAATTGCGATCATGAAAACAGCAGAATGTCCTTAGACACTGAAGCCAGAAACAGTTCACGTATAAAGCAAAGACATTTTATAAAAGCAGGACATCTCCTCTACTCTGCGGTTATCTACAGGAGACCTTTAATCTGAGAGGACGGCACCCAACTGAAACTGCAATAAAAAAGTACAGAAGTCGTTAGAAAAACATTAATGGCACTGAATGAACTCAACATCACCATGATTGAGTAATGGAAAAGTACTGCAATCCTACAATCACTGCTTCAGGAACAATCAGACTACAGGTGGAATGTCAATGAAGGAACAAACAGTAGCAGCTCACCTGGAGAATATTTTACAAACAAAGGTGAGCTGCAACATTCAAACTGTACAACTCCACAACAGCTGATCAATTCATCCATTTACATCTGTGTGACGTCGCAGCATTTAAATCTACCTCTAACAAGCTGCCTTTACCTAATGTGTGGAAAAAACAAACCCTTCACTCCCTCAAAATGTGCAAAATGGAAAAAGCAAATTATAAATAAAGTGACTGTTCTTCGTGGAACGATAGAAAGATAGTGCTTAGAAAAGTCCTGAAATCAAACAGGAAAACTTATTACAAATGAGCCGCAACACACTTTGGTAAAGTCTCTAACCATCAAGTGATCGACCGCTTCAGGACAATCAAATGAAATAATATAGAGGATTAATAATTAATAAATAACTCACACAAATACAAAAACATTTCTGATCCATGTGTTTTACATCTTACACCTAAAGTGCCTGTACTTTCGTCTTCAACCAGAGAAAACATTGCATTTTTTAAGAAGCGTCGCCTATGGAGGACAAAACGGACCAAACATGAAGTAATTATCGAGAATAAATTAGAAGACAGAACTGAGGCTGAGAGAGAATCACTTTGCTCCGTGAGTCGGAGACAGAAGAGACGGCAGCGCTCCCGTGTTGACGCTGGGACGCAGTTTTTCGGATGATCAACTCCCTGATGGCTGAGACTGGGTAGTCTCCTCTGTGCTCTGGTTCGAGGTGATGGTGGCGGCGCTGGACGGGGCGGAGACGGCCGGGGTCGTGGAGGAGGAGCTGACCCCGTTGGAGGTGCTGACGGAGCTGTGCTGGATGGCCTCATTCTGAGGGCTGCTGGGGACGGACATCTCCTCACAGCTCTCGTCTTTGTCAGAAACTGTAAAAAATAAATAAATAAACAGAAATTCAGCCACTAAATCACAATTTCCGGATTTTCTCACACGGCTGTTTCCCCGCTGTTTTTAATTAACGGCGTTTACCTGATATGATCCAGAACGGCTCTGGAAAGCGCTGTCATGTCGGCCTAATCACATGTAAAAGAGCTATTTGTGTGTGGTGTATGCAAACCATTCCATTAATCCCCATAATGCTACTTGTGCACCCCTTCCTTTAATTAAAGCTCCAATGTCAATTTAAACCCACATCATAAGGGTGCGTTACATTCTGGGGCATGTGGCAGTGTTTCCCATCCCTAACTGCATTCTCATTTGTTTTTTGTTACCTTGCCAACTACTGCAGCGACAGATGATTACAGCACCTGATTTTAATGATGCTCACACTGGAGAGTCGGGAAGACTTGGAGTTGAAATGCCACCAGCTGTTCGGCAGTTGCATTGAATTAATTGGATCCGGATGAAAAAAGAAAAAAAAGAAAAAGCAAAACGAGAGATTCTCCTCTCATGCTCTGTTTCATAAAGGAATAAGGAGCACTATGATAATTAATATTGCTAATGATAGGAAGTCACTTGGTGTGGCACTTTGTAATTAATGACTGGGACTCGTATTTGAGTTTGTAAAATACCGATTCGTTAACAATTAAAGAACGATGGGAATGTCTTTACATTAGAAGCTTCACGTGTTCTCTTCACTGCACTTTGACCGTGTGATTTAGTGCAAGTGAATGTCAAAGCGCTTTAAACGACCACGCTGCTTTACTGCACAGAAGGTCAACCTCGGAATAAATCAGCTTGGTGGTTTTGTTCCATGTTCAAGTGAGCATTATCACTCCTAACGACATTAAGGGCTGGCCGGTGATAATACTCAGAGATCCTGGTTCCCCAGGCAGACGGAGCGTCTCTCTGCTCTCCTGATTCCTGAAGTGGGCGCCGCTGAAAAGCAGATGGACAGCTCCGTGTGCCAACTCAAAGCATGTCCTGGCTTGTTTGCGGGGCAGTCTGGGTAATTTCCTCCCACCTGCCACGGTTACGCCTGGTCAGGACTATGAAGGGTATTACCGGGTCTGGAGGCCAGTGTGGCCTTATGGGATGTGTAACTCTCAGAAAAACTGAGAGCTTGATGAGGCCTTTATGAGTGAGAGCCATGGATCAGTCAGAGTTAAATAATTATGTTTGACTAATTAGAGAGACAGATTATTTCAGTGATTCCCAGACAGGGGGCGCTTGTGTCCCAGGAGAGCACTTATACAGTTGACGGGGGAAGGAGTGTGGAGTCCTTCCAATCCTTATTTGATTTACAATAAAATATATCTGGGGCTGCGCTCAAAGGGGGGTTTGAGTCCTCCAGTGGTTCTGTTCCGACCAGGTCCCCATATGTACTACAGTTGTTCTGTCAATAAAGATTTGAAATTAAAGTAGAATTATATAAATAAAGTCACTGTGGTAAAAGTGGTGAACCTTTGCCTTCCATTCACATCTGTGCGAGTGAGGAGGGTTCCTGTGGTGAGGTAAATGGCCACGAGGCTTCTCGTGGAGTTCAACTTTGATGAACACAAAGTTTTGCCATAGCTGATCACACTGACCTCAACAACATAAATACTATAATGTCTAGTTTTGCATAATCAAGTTAGAATGCTTTCCACCGCCCAACAGTCCTCTTATGAAAACACATTTAATTCTCAGATTTTTATTTGGATCTGAACCACATTGCACATACTAATAAATACTAGTCACTTAAACATACCAGATTTTTCTCATAAAAAGCCATTCGACAAAAAACTATTTTGCAATGTTTAAAGAAAAGAGGTTAAAAAAATTCCCTGATCCGAATCCGCACCAGAATTCAATGGTTTCTTTCCTGACCCATACTGACCCATACTGCATCCCTCCACCAAGTTCTGTGGGAATCTGTCCTGCAGTTCTTTGTGTAATCCTAATAAAGCGCAGATGAAAATATAACGTTCTTGGTGGAGGTAATGAATCAGTCTTAACACCTCATAACGTGTTGTGATTGCAAAGCTGATCAAATGTGAATACTGTAAAATCTATTTCTGCAGAATCAATAGTGTTAAATAACATTCGCTTAAAAAATCATTTGGAACATAATGGGTGTTGATCAGGGGGATCTGATGTCACCTGATTGGACTGTGGACGTCCCTCAGAGACAACAGTCTCACACCGTCTCATTCTTTCTACCAGACTTATATTTTCACCCTCACATTAGTCGGCTTTCCTTCTTAGCTCGTCTTAAATCTTCCCCACCTGTCATTGTGAACCAGACTGATGAACTGGACGATTTTGGATGAGGTTCTTACATTATTTCCAAACTGCATTAAGAAGCACTTCAAATGTCATCCTTCACAAAAAGGTCTAGAAACACGTCCTCCACAGAAACACATGAGAACAATGACCCAATTCATCTGCACATCGTGCTAGAAAACAATCCAGACGACACTAAATGAGACCCTGGCTCTGACGGACCACCCCAGCCTGGAAACCATCAGTCCCATAATGCACGTGACGTGTGTCAGTGCACTGGTTAGCAATAAGGGATGCATAATGAACAGCCTAGCTTGGTGGACGTCCTCCCGAGGACGCTCCGCAGTCTTGTCGATCTTGCTGCTTTAATGGACTTATTTCAGAGGCAATCATTGTCAATACAAGTCCGCGGAGGTGTTTAGAGCACGAGCGGGGAAAGTGGCTCGCAGCGCAATGGCTCTCGCAGCGTAGTGGCTCATCTGTGAGGGAAGGTGAGTTATGAGCGGAGGATCAGGATGACAGAACCACGGTGTCGTGGAAACGAAGAAATATAGGTGATATAATTCTAAATGAGAGCACGTACAGTACAGGCTGACAACAGGAAATTTAAATAAAGAGGCAGTAATGGGCAGAAACCTCTCGTATATTCAAGTATTCATAAAGACGATGGTAGTGTGTGAGCGGAGGATGTTTAACATTATGTTTTAAATACCATATTAAAAAAGGACATTCATTCACTGTGGATATTCAGCTTGATTTGACAAATGGTTATTTAGGTGTCAAATGAACAAACAATTACTTTCTTGCAGTTACCACCTGTGGCCTCATGAAGTATCCGTCGCTGCCTCCAGTCAGAATTTGTCTAAAACAACACAGCCTATAAATATCTGAACTTTTGAAAACTTTTTTCTTAAGAAAAAGGGGGATTTAATACGACAATAGCTCTTTCCACTGGGCCATAAGTAAGACGTGTCCTTCTAGTGGTTAGCTGGGGCTCATTTCAGGAGCATTTCACTAGAAGCCTCGGGCTGAGAATAATGGAGCATTACTCACTGTGATAGCCAGATTTCTTCTGCATGGCGGTTACAGGGCAATCTTTATGAGCCAGGAGAAGCTGCTTCAGCTGAGCCACTTCGTTTCTCAGCAGGGTGACTTCATTCTGTGGGAGAGAGGAGACGCACAGCATGTCGGGAGAAGACGTGAAGACAAACAGATGATGTGAGCTCATAGTTCAAACAGTCAGATTTTATAGTCAGTCAGATTTCAGCTCCTTTTTGTGAGAATGCAAATATGACTCTTTAACCTTTTTGTTGGAAGTAGAGTTGGTGATATTGCTCTTTGACAGTAACCAATATCCAGTGAAAGTGAACGCAGCAGATGTTTAGGCTAAAAACATGGTGTAAATGATGCTGAATGTGAATGTCGGGGTTACAGACACTTGGATGACCCCACAGGAGCAGTATGGAGGCATGTTGTCGTTTTTTTACGTCTGAACACGCTCATCATTTACTTGGATTTGGCTGCAATGCAGTTTCCCCCGGAGACTCCAAAAGTGTTTGGTAGACTCAAACACTTCAGCCAACGCTCCACCAGCACAGCATTGAGTAGATAATGAATCAAGTGTAATGAAATCTCCGCAGCGGCCTTGACCTTTGACCTCTGCCCACCTACATCTAACCAGTTCATTATTTGGACTGAATTTGATGAAACTCCCTCAAAGCAATTTGGAAAAAATTGACCTTGACCTCTTAAAGACAAAATGTAATAAGTTCATCCTTGTGTCCAAGTGAACGTTCCTACATTAAAATTTAAGAAAGTCCCTCTCACCATTCCCAAGATATCGCATTCACAAAACAGGACATACAGACAACTTGAAAACATAATGTCTCCACCTCTGACTGTAGCTACTGTGGAGGCATAATTCATTTAAACCCTTCATAGCTTGTGTACTGTAAATGTAGTACAGTAAAAACGAAATCACAGAGTGAATGTAGTCTGTGTCCTCTATAAATGAAACGCTGTGTGTTTTAAATAATGCAAGTTATTAATGATATCACAGGGTGAAATACTTAAGACCTTTGTACAGTAAGAACACACGACCACCACATTACTGCACATAAACTCGTATTTTGTCCCACAAGAAAGAGCAAACACAGGGAGGCACAGTGAATGAATTCAGAATAAAGTATGATGTACTTCTTCATTTATGTTTTTCCTACACAATAATTATGGGCCTTCACTGCCGACCGACCGAGCACATTTGTCAGAGCTGAGCTGTTCGGATTGTCACTGCAACTTTGTAGATGCTGCCGAGATTTACACAGTCGTGTCGTTACAGCTCCCTGGGGAACAGAGGATTTCTGCATGTCGTAAAAACGGAGCCACATTACGCTGAAGGTGACTTTAACTGGATTTAGAGCGGCCAGGGCCCACGGAACACCCAATGGCAGATTTAAGCTCCTTCGCTCCTCCTTAAAAGGACTATGGCAGCTTAACCTATTAGTCTAAAAGCAGCCAATTCATTTGATTCCATCTGTTTAGTCTTGCTGGTGTTGGCAGCGCTGAGTTATTGTAAGGCAGATTTAAACGCAGCTGGAAGGAGCGTATGGACCACATGTAGCCAACGCCATATTCACAGTGCTTTCTGCCACGACTGCTGCCATTCGCAGCCAATATAAACACGGGCGTTCCTTTCAACTCCCTCTGCAACTAACCCGAGAGACGCACACACAATACACCCTACACCAAAGTCACAAATTTTGTTCCAGTGGTTGCACGTGAAAAAAAAAAAGACATTCTGCTTTACAGCTTAGCCGTGAGAATAGTGTTTGCTTGACTTACAAATGCATCAACAATATCATCGAACCAAAAGATGAAGTCAAAACCGTGACAGTAACATTGCAGTCAACGCTCCAGCTACAGTCGCATCAAACTGCCGTTGACAGAGAATGTAAATCTTGACTACGCTGGACTTTTGAGAGTTTTACTTGTTTCTAACTTTGAGAATTAATCAAAATTGAGTAAATGGGCCTCGGGTAACGCTGGGAGCCCTGTGAGCTGCATGGTCTGACACCTCATTAAAAAGCCAGTTAAGGATGATGTTAAAATAATTGTGCATCATTAGAGGCAGTTTCACTGATCAGCTGGGCCGTGTCAGTGTTTTTTTTATTTTCTTTTTTATAAAAACTGCTCTGCTGATTAATGCCTTCATATAAAAGCAGCCTTTTATTCCCTCCACATGTTGTTCTCCTCTTTGTAGTTAACAGCGATGATCTGACTGTTTATAGCCCTATTCACTCACCCATCCTTCCTCTTTCTTCTACCTATATTTATGTGAATCTCAGCTGGTGCACCCATGACAAGTGGTGATAACTTGTTTTGTGAACCAGATATTGACACAGACAGCATTTTTTCCACTCTGCCGTCTGTCCCCTCCTCCACCTTCCACATCTTACTCTGCTTTCATAGAAAAATAAGACAGTGAGCAAATAAACACCACATCTCATTTAATTGTCTGGAACACCGATGTGCTGCACCCCCGGCTCACACTTATCAACAGAGACAGCAGATACATGAACTGTTTCGAACTTGTCAGCATCAAATCCTAATTGCTTCCAGCGAAATGAAGGTTCAAAAAGACACCTTTCCCTAGGAGATTTTTGAGGCCATTCAGTAAACTGCTGAGACAGAAGCGAAGACACGCTTGTGTGCAGCTGACATCTGGAGGATACATCTTTATTGACAGGGACATATCGATGTAAAGGGCTCACACACTGCTGCTGTCACATGACAGCTCTTCTTAATCGGCTTTAATGACTTCATCACCACAGAAGGGAAAAGTCTGTGTACGCTCGCTTGTGCCGGCAGCAGATGATGATAAACAGACGTGGGCGTGCATAGATAGATAAAGTGACACTTTCTTAGCAGCTGTGTTTACATGCAGTGAGTGAGGGTCAGAAGTGAAGAGCACCTGTAGTTGTCCGTTCATGGAGTTCATGTCCTCCGCTTTCTTCTCCAGAGACTGGACCCACACCTTCCTCTTCTGCCTGCAGCGAGAAGCCGCAGCCCTGTTACGCTCCAGGAACTTGCGCCGCTTCTCGTCAGGGTCTTCGCTTGTGGTTCTGCGCCGCCGCCCGCCTGTGCTCGGAGGATTTTGCGCAGGGGGAACCGGGGAAGCCTGCACAAAAACAAGAACATTCACACAGAGGAGCTACCATCAAAACAAAATAAAAATAAATAAAAATCTATTGTGCTTACAAAGGGCTTTAATGAAGTCAGTATTATGTTATTCTGCATGTACACTTATGCACAGATAAAGACATGAATAAAGTCCTCTCTTCTCTGGGACGCTAGTGTAACACTGTCATGTGAAGAGACTAATCCATGTGTACTGCAGTTGTGAACACTTACAGGGGTCTCTGTGGTGGAGGTGGCCGGCTGCTGAAGAGAATGAGGGGAGGGTTCCTCGATAGTGGGCTGGTGGGGAACGGGAGTTAGGACCGTGGCTGTGGTTGGGGCTGGAGCTGGAGCCGGAGCCGGGGCTGGGGCTGGAGCTGGAGTTGGTACAGGAGAAGCAGGAGCAGCAGTGTGGGTTACAGCGCTGCTCTGGACTTCATCACCATCTCCATTGGTTACCTGAGGAAGCTGCTGGCTCAATGTGGCTTTCAGCTTCTGGGAAGAGAATTCAAGCACAGAGGAAACAGTCGTTAAACTGTTCATGCAAAGAAATAGTTCATACAAAAAAAACACTTGTGTGAGTACTGTTAAAATGAGGACCGTTTTTGCTGTTATATCGTTCAATATATTTTAAAAACATTAGACTACACAAGGTACGACTTTTGAAGTGGAATATCCAACTGTATTTTCAAGGCACTGCTTGCAGAAACAGTAACAGCTTATTAATAATTTCTTATATAACATTAAAACAACTATTAATTCTAGAAGACCATTATATTATCCATCTATTTCATTAGTTCATTGCTATTGTCTGTAAAGCTTTGAATGATTTTAGTATTATTTTATTCCCTGATCTTATTCGCCTCAGTACTGACATGTTTTAAACGTGTTTCCATTTCCCTCAGAGAAATAAAACCACAGGATAAGATTATAGCAAAGATCTCCTCTTCAACTGTCAGCGAGACCAACAGAAAACTAAAGTGTACATTTGAGAAATCAGACCTGAGTCATTGAATTATACAGTAAAAAGTAAGGAAAGTGTGGGATTAATCTGAAGAACAAAACATTAAGTAAAAGAAGTGCTCTGTTGGCTAGAGCATGGAATGAAAGGCAACAAATTTAAAAACATTTCTCAAACACTTACAAAAATGTGCTTGAAAAAGCTAAGGAACAAAGTTTTAAAAGACGAATAAAACCACCAGATCGAGTCTTTAGCGCTTTGTGAACCAACTTAAATGAAACTACTGAGTTCAAAGCAGTGAAAAAGAAGAGAGATGTATCCCTGTTGACTTTATTAACAAGGACTTTTTTTAGATTATATGAAAAATCCTCCTTCTACAGCTACTTTGGGATTCCCCTCAAAATTAAGGTTATAAAATGAGATTCCACAATAAAAAAATTTATGAAATAAGTAGAGAAAGAAAGTAAGCCAAGAGGAGAAGAAAGTAAAAAAGTAAAAAAACAACAAGGTGTCTAATGCAAACATGCGGCACACTCAAAAGGTGAGGGATGTCCACGATACATAACATGAGCCAAACTATCAAAAACATTTTCTTTTTCACGACATTGAGTGAATGTGACACACACATACACAGAAACGGTTTCACTGCAGATTGGTCTCCATGATGCACAGGCCAATTCCTGCAGCATCAAGCACTGAGCAAACAAGGTGAAAGTGAATGAGCCTTTCGAAGCAATAACAAAGTGAGAGGGAATACATTTACATGAGAAAACAGAGGAGAACATTATTCTAACAACTACCTTTGCCAGAGCAATCTATCTACCAAATTAGTTTATAGTGTAATACCCTTCCAGAAGCTCTTCTGGCAGAAACAAGATATTATTCTCTTGGAATGGCCCATAGAACGAGAGAAAAGCCAGTCAGATTCATATTTCATCTCTGCCATGGAAACCTCATCAGTGTAATAACCCTCCATCTCATGGGTGTTATTCAACCATCTGCTACTATATTACTTATCTTTATTTTGCAACTAATTAACAGCATAATCTTCTAAATTCAGCAAGTTAATTATCATTATTGTGGTCTTTGCAGCATCATCAGTCCTTGTAAAGTGCCGTCTCCACGCCCCCTGAGAGCCAGGTGGGGGCGGGGGAGCGGGCAGGTTGAGCGGGGGCCTGTTTTCTTGACGCGGGCTCATTAGGTGTTTGCTGATGAGCTCAGTGCGGTGGGAGGTGCCGGGAGTAGGGGGGTGGGGGGTAGGGGTGGGGAGGGTGCGCAGGTCAGGCAGGATTCTGCTGAACAAAAGGTTCCATGCAGGGTGAGGCCGACTTAATGTGCCTTGCTGAGCGTGTGCCAGGATGCCCCCAGCTGGCGTTCGCTGGTAGCCCCCCTCCAGTTGGCCCCGATGACGGCGTGCTGAGCACAACGCTGTCTCCGCGTTTGTCTTCTCCCTTACCCCATGATCCTCGACAACCCCCACCTCCCACTCCCCTCATTCTCTTCCTTCTCGCCAGTCAGTATCAATCCTTCCCTCCCAACACACACATACACACACACCTCCTCTCCATAGTGTATCTGTTAATTTCCACAGACGGAGCATGCTGGGAACACTTACAGGTTCTGTGATCCGTGTTTCATCACATTGCCAGTGATCTACCTCACAACACTTCATATCCCTGCCCTTCAACTATCACGTTTTATGTAGGAGGACTTCATGAGCTTCTCCCCAAACAGAAGTAGTTATTTAATTTTTATAACAGCTGATTAATTCTAAATCAATACTTTTGTTTAATATGTGATTATTTTCTCAATCATTTCATAATTTTGTTGTCAGGTAATTGTAAGAAATGGCTCGTAGTGTGTTGTGTCACATATGCCCACAGATATTCAGTTTATTATCACTTGGTTTTACTGATATTGTTTTGAACATTTTAATTATTGTTAATTTTTGGCCTTATATTGTTTTTAGTCTTGTTCTGTACTTTAACCTGCATCTTCTGATGTAAATTGTGAAAAAAAATGTATGTAGGCTTTTATTTTCAAAATTATTATTATTTGAGAAGCTGTGACCACCCAATATCTGGCTTTTTGCTAAATAAACCAAAAAAATTATTTGATTATTGAAATGTTTACTCTTATGAGAGGGGGTTGGTAGCTAAAAATCTAACATACTGACTGCTTACCCAAGCTTCCTCTAGCGCCCTCATCAGGTCAAAGATAGCAACTATCTCTTTGTAGTCGAGCTCTCTCATTACCTTGGTTGTTATTATCGCTCTCAGGAGGGAAATAACAGACTCCAACAAAGAAATAATATTTGATGTAAAGGAAGAGATAATAAATACCAGCTTTGCTTCTGATTGGGCGGGCTGAGGCTGTGGCTGTGATGGTGGTTGTGCCTGTGGCGAGGGAGGTCCTGGGATCCCGGGGACGTTAGGCACTATGGTGACAGGTCTGACAAGCTGACGGCAGAGACACAGACACAGATCAGCACAGAGAAATTAGTCTACGGCAGTAAAAAAGGCAGGCGGCACAACAGAAACACACACACACACACACACACACACACAGGCAGGCTCTCATAGTTTCCTCATATCTCAGCCTCATTAGGTCAGATGGCCTGTTATTTTGTGGAGGCAGCGCCACTTGGAGATGCAGTGTGCACGCTAATGAACCACCGCCTGTCTGCGTGAGAGCATATGGACGGGGAAACTGAAGAGAGGATGGAGAGACACGAGTCGGAAGGGCAGAGCCGGGCTCCCCTCACAGACGTGGACAATAAGAGAGAGGGAGGTGGGGAGCGCTGGAGATGGAGAGAAAGAGGAAGGGGGGAGGAGATGATCGAGTGAAAGGGAGGCCCACTGGTGGCTCATGTTCTCCATTTACTTTTGCACTACTTTGCTTGTCAACAGCTTTCTCAATCCCCACAGACTGGGAAGATATAGGTTCTTTCCCTGCTGTGCCGCTATCAGGAGATAATCATGTGTTGCTCAGTGTTCCACACAGATAATCAGGACTACAGTGTACAACAAGACACGCTTCCACATGAGGGAGTTCAAAGAATACCAGCAATACTTTCATTTACAATATGTTTCTGATATGAGAAACTGTTACGGCTGCAGTTATAATTGGTTTGCTCAACACATTAGTAGCATCATCTATCTGCTCTGCCAGAAATCAAGAGAGCTAATTCTAATTGTACAAGGACAAATAGTAGTGAAGTATTCTGGACTGGATCCTGCTGTGCCTCAGCCAATTTCAGTGTCTTTTGTCACAGTGACGCAGAGTTGTACTCCAAAGTCCATTATTTCCCTCAACCTCTATTGCTTCAAGTGACTGCCAAATCTGAGGTGCCAACGTTGTAAATAGTCCCTTTGTCCAAGTGGTGCAAAAGAGATTTTCAATGTATTATGCTTGCAGCTTAAGTGTATTTTGAATGTCACACGTGGAGGACCGCAAAATTGCTGATGTTAGTACTTTTCTGCGCACAACATGAAATTCAAAGCGTGAGTAAAAAGCTGTTATGTTATTCCCATGGAGGGGATTTGTATTTTTATGTTAAATCTCCAGGATGCACAAATAAGCAAAACTTCCAGCAAAGCGTGTTATTTGACACAGTCCAGTGAGTTTGTGAGTCTACATAATGGACGACAGCAGTAAGTTAGAAAACAAATGTTTAAGTTCATTAAATCGTTTCTTTTAGTCCCTAGAAAACAAAACAAGCCCCACGAGGTGCATTAAGTAGTTATGTTGCGATACATTCAAAAGGTAAAGAACGCAACTAAATGGATGTTGAGGTGATGCTTTTTCAAAAACTGCAGTTTCCCAAGGACAAGAACGAACTACGATGCTCAATTATTAAGCTGACAAGTTCTATAAGGGCTCATAAAAATGGAAACATAAAGATTTACATTTCTACAACTGGGCAAACTCTACCTGCTGATGCAGATCATCCAATATGACTTAGCAAAACTTTTACATGCACTAAAAAGTTATTTAAAAGTTAAAATGTCACAGCTAACTAAAATTCTTTTACTTTTACACACAGGAAATCACAACATTAACACAGTATAACCAGCAGAAAACTCACAGGGATTGTAGTTGGAATATGTACACTTGAGCTTGTAATAGACGCAGGTATAGCCACTGGCATGGTCTGGCCGTTAGGCAGCTGTAAGAGCACTGGGAAAGTGCCCGATACTGGACTGAAGGAGAGAAGAGGGTGGGGGGAACACAGTGAGGAACAACTTTTTGATTAAGAACACAAAACAGAATCTGTCACAAATTCAAAACGACGCGTGGCTACTGATTTACAAACATACATACAATCATATTCAAGCAACAACTGATGGGATTAAAATGAACCCAAGACAAAACCCAAACCAGACCAGACAAAGTAATTACACTTGTTACCTAAATGTCATTAAAAGAAAAATGTTTCACTGCCACAATAGATCCAATAATTAACATCAGTTCTGCTCATATATGGACTTCTGCTATTTTTACACCTGAGATTTAAAGCAAATCATATCTGCACAAACCTTCTTTTAGATCGCAATGAATCATTAAACTCTAAAAACAGTTTTCAAGTCCAAACAGTGATTTTACGACCACAATAGAAGCCAAAATAGCCAAAATAGCGAAAAAAGCACAACAAGCGTAACAACAATATATAATAAGTGGTATCGTGATGATTATCAGGTGAAAAAGTCCATATTTGAGCAGCACTGATGTTTAGTCTGCAAATAAAAATCCAAAAACAAACAAGCGCATGCTTCATGAAATATGAGCTCACCAAGACAGAACTACACAAAAATTATTTTAAAAAGCAAAAAGGAAAAAGATGAATTTATTAAAAACTAAGATTCTTATAAAAAAATTGACATGGCAAGTTACTTACACTATAGGCCTATTAGTGGATGGGACTTGGGTAATAACAGAGCTAGATGTTGGCGATGGGAGAGCTTGCTGTATTACAACACTAGCCTCTGAGGTTGCTAGAAGTACATTGGGGACTTGGAGGGAGGCAGGATGGACTATTGTGGATGTTGGCAGTGAGGTTGGCTGCAAAGATAAGTCCTGAAAACATCATACAACACCTTAGCTGCAGGAAGTGTTTCACCAAAACCAGATGATGATGCTGATATTTTACTATTTCCTCAACAAAAAAAGAAATAAAACTTCAAATCAACCTAATATCTCCCATTTTTGTGGATAATCTTTGTTAGAATTTCTTCAGTGTTAACACTAGAGATGTTCCGATACCACCCCCCACCTAAAAACCGATAGCCAGGTTAAACCTTTTGAAAAAAAAATACATACATACGTCTTGCATATGGGACACATTTCCATTTTTAAACTGCAGTTTTATCTGGGTAAAACTAATATTCTCTAAAGACGTGGTATCAGATCAGACTCATGGATTTGCGTACTTGCTGATGACCAGCAGCAGAATCTGGGGAATTTCCAAAGCTGGTATCAGTATCTGAACATCTCTAAACAGTGTGAGGCATTAGATTATTTTAGTCAAAGTCCAATTAAAATGACCAAAACACAGATTAGAAGAATATTCATACCAGGAGATCTGCTGATTTGAGAGTAAATAACTAATCACAGAAGCAGGAGATTATCCTTCATGAACAGTCTTGTTAACTCACCCAGGGTTTGCACAAGTACCAGAGGCGGTTTATTTAAAACTTTACCTTGTCATCACTCGTTGTGGATTCAGGGTGAGGCAGAGGGCTGTCTCGATGTGCCTCCATAGCTGTGGGTTCCTCAGTTTTGTTGCGTATAATGGGCGTCGCAAGAGGTGACAAATCCAGAGGTAACTACAGAAAAGAAGAAGAAGAAGAACACGTCAGTAATGGACAAAGTTAAATGGAAATTATAGCTGAACAGGTGTCAGGTCATCTGCTACCAGGTTAAATGAAAAGAACCTTTTTAATGTCATCTTCAGCCGCTTTTTTGAAGTCGTGGTCAAACGGACTTGCGAGTTCATTGAAGAGCCCGACCTCCTCGCAGTTCTTCAGAAAGCGGGTAGGTGTAGGGGTTTGATCTGCGGCGGAGGACAACCTTCAGGGCACTGGTCAAAAGTGTCAATTAGACCAAAATATATCAACTTCAAGAACATTTACCAGCAATGATGACATTGTCGTTCCTCGCTGGACCAAACTTCAGGGTCATCTCGTGTTTGTGCTTGTGGACAGCCAAGTGGTCTTCATTTGTAAATCTCTACATGAGGTCAAAGAAGAAAACAGATAATCATGATGTGCATGAATTCTGTCTGGAGGAAAACGTTTTTTGTTTTAGTTTGAAATAACGTGCAATAACTAACATTTTGACAAAACAGCATGTCTATTAGCAAGATGAAGGATGTTTAAATGTCTGTACTGCTGTTGTCTCTAATTCTTCTTCTGATGAATAATATCATTCCACTGTCTTTATATTAATGAGCGAAGACAAGTCCAGTATAATCAACAGCAACACAAACTGCAGCCTCTAAAATCAACACAACTAAAACTGTTTAAATCATTTACCAGTTACCTTTACCAGTAACAGTAGGAGACTAACTTTTGAGTTGCTTTTAAATGTCTGATTCAATCACACAAAGCTACTTTATGTTAGTGTTGCTGAGCCTGTGGCACAGAATGGGGAAAGGACAACTGTCCCATTTGAAGCTTCGACAGGTCTTCAAATTAAGTAATACTGTTATGGATGTGCAAAATGAAAAATTTAAAACGGTTCCTTCGACATTCACCGTTTGACAGTTGACCAAGCAACGAGAAACAAAGTCAGATAGAGACGAGTATGAGATGCAACAAAAGGTATGTGGCTCTGTGGTATGACTTTCCCACGTTGTGCATGATCTTAAATAATTTCATCCATTCATCTATTACCATGAACTCAGTTAGTGCTCTGATGTAAGTATTGATTTGTGTCAGTGTCTCTACACACAACACCATGAAGCTGCCATGGGTGTCATGTGCAGGAATCTTGGGAGTCAACCAGAGATTTTACCCCACACAGGTGAATCAGGCCACAGGTCTGTCTCTGCACAGAGAGCAGTGTGAAACAGTGGCATTTTGTGGTGACAGTGATAACTCACCTGTCCACAGCCAGGAGCAGTGCACTGGAAAGGTTTATCATCACTCATATTAAGGGATTCCTGTTGTGTCACCCTGGAACCAAACAGGACAAACTGGAGTTAAACATCAAACCTCCAGATGTGCGCTGCTGTCAGAGTCACAGATCAGAACACGGAGGCTTCGATGTGTGAAGTCAACGTTGAGGCTTGTAGTTTAAAATGAATCTCATCAGAAGCAGATCTGGGATCAGACAGTGTGAGAGTCACGGAGCCGCAGCATGAAGGTGACAGGTCGGAGATTGTGGACAAAGCGTGTGGATGAAGGGCGGCTGCTCCGGGTGTTTACACCAGGAAAAGACGGTGAACTCTCCCTGCGTGTATTCTGCTACAGACACACGACTATCCAACGACACACCGACCCACATGTGTTGTGTTTATGTTGTTAACATGACGAGGAAACACCGCACACACCAGCCCTGCGAGCTTTGTCAAGCAGAGGGGGGGGCGTCTGTTCCAGCAGCTTCCATGAAATAGCCGGAGCCCCCGCGTTAACATACAAGCGTCGCCATGTTTGCAGCTGAATCTCTCAGTTAACGCGGGACGTGTCAGCGGGTTGTTCGGGGCCGCCGTGTTGTACCGGAGCTCGGGTCTCGAACAGTGACACAGACGCAGTGTTTGACAGCATCTTTGCGACAGGACGCAGTGTTTGTGTGATCACTTACCCTCAGCCACTACCCTTCCAAATCCCACGACCGAGCCAGAGTATCGCGAGAACAGGTCGGGCACTTCCGTAAACGTCACACAAATGGGTCACTAGTCAATCTACTTTAACTGTTTCCCCTTTTTCTTTTTTCTCCTTTATAACAATGTTATTTAAAATGTATTTCTGTAATGTTTTATTCATGATTAATAATGATCTGCATGACTTTTTATTTAACTGCACTGCTGCCACTTCAGCTGGATATTTTCTGCATCATTGTACTATATTTCATTTGTTTATTTGCATACATACATATATATATACACACAATACAAAACAGAAATATACATGTATATTTCTGTTTTGTATTTTTTATATTATATACGTGCATTTATGTGCGCTCTAAACTATACTTTCAATGTTATACTCGTTTCCTTTGTATGTTTTTTCAATAAAGAATAATTTTGGTTCATCCAGAATACAACTATGTATTCTGTTGCAATAGAATAACTACATTTGAGCAAACATGGACTTTCTGATTTACAGTCGATTTTACATTAGGTAAAATTATGTATATAAATTTACATAATTAGCATGTATCAAGCAAATCTTTCCCCAAATAACTTTCTGATCAATCTCATGACTATCCAGAAACAGGGCATAGATTCATAACTTTATTATGGATTAGTTATTGGGGCGACTAATTGTTTATTTTCCATATTATGTAAAGCTTTTTTGTTTATATTCATGATAAACTGTTTGCACATTATTACATTGTGCTTATAAATACATTGCAGAAACCTGTGCCAACTTTAAATATCAGCTTCCCAGGCTGAGGGTGATTTATTAGCAAAAATATGTAATGGATGATTATCTCTTATTTCCACATGGTTACCACACAGGGCTATTGAAATATAGTTGTGTTTAGATACTTGCTTTTTAAAATTTACTCAATAAAAAATACTGATTGTTCATCAACAAATCCCAAAGAAATGTGACATCTATAGATCTTCAACATTGTGTAAGAAAACCTTTGAGAAGTTGGAACCAGCAGATGTTGTGCTTTTTTTCCTTGATAAATGACTTCACTGAAGTAATCCATTACTAAAACTGACATTTTAAATTGATTCAACAGTTTCAGTCTGTAACCAAGTTCAGTCCAATCAGCCTAAATCAGTCTATCAGTTTTTGGAACATCTTATTAAGGACTTTCATTCATGATATTCAAAAAAGTCAAAACCCACTGTTTTACTTAATTAAATTGTCTAGATTTATTCAATGCCATTTACAAAAGCAAGCACTCACTTGCTGCCTAATTACATTACTTAACTGCAGCTGAACCAAGAAGTCATTAAGGTGGACCCCAAAAAGCTTGCATGTGATGCTCGGAGAAAAACAAGGCTGATGTCAAAGAGCAGCTTCACAGAAAAGATGACATTCAGGAAAGCTGACCGCTCTCTGCTTTGTTATGTTAGCATGATAGCCCAGACATAAAAGTTACTGCCATTCTTTAAATAGTCAAATACATGTATTTTAATCACGTAATTTCTTACATTCGTACAATACACGTTTTGCTTATTTCGATAGTGTCTGAAAGACTTGAAAATGTACATTTTCATGACACCAACACGGAACAATTTTGGTAGCCACAATAAAATATGTAGTCACATGTGTAATGAACGTGTCATATGACAGGAGATTTTTTTACATTGCAAACAGGATAAGGAAAGCGACCATCAAACAGAACAGTCCCATAGCTTCAGACAGGGCAAATCCCAGGATGGCATATGAGAACAGCTGCTGCTTCAGAGATGGGTTCCTGAGAGAGAAGGAAAAACTGTCAGTGCATCTAGGAAAAAGATTCTTATTGATACAAGTGCATATTTCAAGGATATTTCCAGGTAATGTGACAAAAGCGCAAAACAAACCTAGCGTAGCCGATGATGAGACTGCCGAACACTGTCCCAATACCAGCACCAGATCCTGCTACTCCGACTGTGGCAGCTCCAGCTCCGATGAACTTGGCAGCGGTGTCAATGTCCCTGCTGATGGCGCTGGTCTGGAAGCCCCTCAGTGTGACCTGGTTGAGTGGGCTCTGTGGCATCAGAGCGACACTGCTCTGGAGCAAGAGAAGAAAAAACATGTTAACTGTCAGTCTTAGCCATTAGTTGCTCTCATGTTAAGTATTTTTGCAGAGAACCAAAACCAACATTGGATGCTTCTTAATTTCAAAATAAGTGTGACTGTTCTAACAAAAAATGTGTAATTGTACATGGCTTGAGGTTGGTCACATTGGCCGGGCCAATAATACTTTACTTTTTACACTGCAGGGTCCTGAAATCAGGCTCAAGTCTGGTTCTGACACAAAAAACTGAATGCCTGGTCCTGGAAAATTGCAGCACAAGCTGCTCTCCATTATAAAAAACATTTTTCTCTCAGAAAAACTATTTGTTTGTTTAGAAGTCTGGGGCTGGATTAAAATAATTTCAAATGTCATATTGCAGGTCTCAGCATTTGATATTATATCTGATGTTTATAGTAAAGACAATAATTCATGCATCCAAATCAGTTATATATAACCAAGTTTGTACAATCAATCTCTGCAGAAAGCCACCTGCATGTCGTCTTACCTCTGACTTGATCTCAGGCCTGGACAGCACAGAGGCAGAGAGGGGTCTGTAAAGAGCCCGGGAACCAGCACGGACCTGCATCAATGACACAAGCATTTAAAAAAACAGTACAGGTCCAGGTACACAGCATGTGCACAAACTCAACGTGACATGAAACACATTGGTACTATTCTCAAACAGACAGCAGGCAGAAGGCACCTTGAAAGTCACTTTCAATCTCAGTGTCATTCCTCTCAGGGCCAGTGTGACCTGTGGCATTTAGAGGTTTGTTGGGACAGTTTGTCCTGACATCCTCTTGTGGTTAGTGTAATGACATGCTGATGTATGTTGCTGGTAGACTACAACAAGACTAACTTATTTACAGGCAGACATATTGTGGTTTGAAGTGGTTAGCCGGGTGGAGCTACCAGAAACAGGAAAGTGACCTTGGAGAAAGAGCAGGCAGCGTCACTATGGAGAGTGTAAAATCAGAATAGAGGAAGTGATGGTTTGTGCATCAGCAGCTCAGAGCTGTGTGTTGGTTTCCAGGTGGATCCAGCTCTTTTCTCAGCTAACAGAGGCTAATGATGACCTTAGCTGACGGCCATCATTGAATATGGCCGCTGGAAGCTCCAGCAGTGACACGGGGGCGGTTTGGCAAAGATAATAAACGTGCATGTTCCTGGTGAATATCAAAGCTACGATGTAACCGTGTTCAATATCAGTGTCTTCCAGGGCGTTAGCATTAGCTGGTTAGCATGCCGGCCTCCTCTGCAGATACCCTTGCCACTGAGCTGCAGTCAAGTTCAACCCGGAGGCCCGGCGGGTCTGAGCGGCGGAAACACACCGAGGAGACAACTCACCAGCGCCGGCGTGGAGACGAACTTTGCACAGGCGTACATCTTCTACGTGTGAGTGGGGGGTGGTCGTTGGAACCGGTTCGGGTCAAATGCGGTCGTGAATCCCGGGTCTCTGCGGAGGGAAGAACCGGAGAGCAGCTGTAAGGTCAAACAGGCGAATAAAGGCTCCACGGAGGAAATACACACATTCACATGCACATCCGAGTCCGCGCTGCGCCGCCCGCTCACAGGTGCGCTGCGATGCTCGCTGTGATGGAGGATGAAGACGGATTTGTTAGAGAAGCTCGACTCATTCAATCTCACGTCACACACTTACCGATGCAGAGGTCGAACCACTGTGGGGGAGTGCGCATGCGCCGGGTGATGTGCGCAGAGGCCCGGATGTGTGACAGAGACGAAATGTGGAAAACTTTATTGAACAAAAGCACGGCGAACAATGTTCATTCACAAAATCCAGTCAGACGCGTGTTAATAGAGCTCAGACTCCTGGTGAGAGATATAGTTGTATACAGCATGTGTGAGTGTTAATCCGTGATGTACTGTTCAAATAAATCAAGTCTGTTAACACAGGATCGACGGTGCAGAGAAAGGTGTTGAGCAAGAAGAAACCGGTGACATGGCAGTGCAATAGTTCCAATAAAATACAAATACAAGCAAGGTAAAAGAGTTTACTATAACAAAGACAAATACAATATTACAACTAAGACTATTTACATACAAAGGTGATGAACTTGTATGAGTGTGTATGTATAGTTATTGCACCGTGTGTGTGTGTCAGTTCACATTTCCAAAATCTCATAAACACAATTACAGATACAATGGAGACACATCTAATGAGAATAAATACAAGACTAAAAAACACATCTTAAAAAACCAAGTTTTAAAATCTCCAAGAAGCATAGAAGATTCTATTTAATAGTTTAGAGGTCAGGATTACTGATATTTTTCTCTACTGCAGAGATAACTTGAGTTTGTAAAATCTTAACAGGGATTGGGATTCAGCCTCAGTCAGATCCATAGAAGTCTCAATCTAGATCCCTGCAGATTTATTTGTAATCTAAAATGGCAATGTGGTATTTGCTTTGAGTTTTATTTCAAGTTCGAGTGGCGGTCCCACTGTGAAAAATGTCCCAGATGTGTCGATGTAAATGTGGGAGGAAAATGTGTACAAAATATGTACAAAATATCCATAATATTTCCATTTGATGGAACAGTGCAGCTTTAAAGACTGTAGTCTTGAGTTGAATAATTTGACTCAGATAAACATCAACATGTTGCAGCTATAGAGGTGAAACATCCTGATGCACAGTGAAACTCTCACTGTGTGGAATAAGGTGATTTCTACAATTAAAGGGGGATTTTAAGGGATTATTAGATTTCTCTAAAGCCGTATTCAGCAAGTAAGTAAGTATAACCAAATATTGAGTTCAAAGTAAGAATGTCAGTCTTGATATTTGAAATCTTATAGAATGAATGTATAGTTACATGACTTCAACTCATGGGACATTAATTAAATCAGTCAACTCAACATAAATGAATGTACTCTCCTCTCAGAAACCTTAAGCAGTAGCTTGCGGTGATAAAAATGTTGCAAAATAATAAAACAAAACTAAATGTACATCAAATCATGTGTATTTGTTAGACTTTAAACTGGTTTGGTGAGGACTGCAGAGGTAGATGTGGTGATAAAACATAAAACATAGAGTTTTCCTCAACTGAAGGAACGGGTCTTTTCCAAGGCTGAACATTTTTCTGCGTGGGTCAGATGAAACCAGGAAATGACAATTTAGATGAATGTATGCAGAAAAAGAGTATAGGTTCCTGTTTTGAGTATATTCTAAATTGGGGTCTGACGTGTGATGTGATAGCACTACTTTTCAAAAAGTGCACCAGAACATATTATTTTTTCTGGTTGCAGGTACAATAGACGTAGAATTCAGTTGATGTATTTCAGCTTTAGTTTTTCTCTCAAAACAAAAGCTACCTGACGTGTCCACAACTATCACCTGTTGTGGTGTGAATCTAACGCGGTGCCTAGAGGGACCGATGGCTCCGGGCCCTGCCTCTGCATCTCGCAGGCTGATGGTGGAGCTGTAGGCTACCGACGCCGGGTGGATTTGTAATCGTGATGAATGACTCCATGGCAGCTGGTCTGTGATGGAAAGGTAATGAGCACGGGGGAGTCTGCCTCTGCTGGCTTTGAGGGAGGAACGTCCCAGTGGCACCTCAGGTATGATCTTTTCAGTTTTACAGCGAACGTGAAGCCACAGATTCCTGACCTCATGAGCACTGAGTAGAAACAGTCAGGAAATCATACATGTACCAGAAACACTGAGAGAGACAATGAAGGATCTTATGCATTAACAAAGCCCAGAACATCTGGCTGAATACTATTCTGTTCTATTTATGTCTGTTCTGTTCTATTCTGCTTTTATTTTACTCTATTATAATTTATCCTAGTCTATACTAGTTTGTTTTGCTCTACTCTGTTTCATTCTGTTCTGTGCAACACTATTCTGTTCTGCTGCTTTCTATTCCACTCTGCTCTATTTTTAAAGTATTCAAATACTTAATTCTTTCTGTGCCCTCTTTAGTTTTATCTATTTAATTTTATTCTATACTAATCTATTCTTAATTTTCTATTTGGCTCTGTCCTTTTCAACACTATTCTATTCTACTCTTCTTTGTTTCATTCATTTCTATTCTACACTATTTGTGTTCTGCTAGTTCATCTCTGCTTCTCTTCCTCTCTCCTCACTTGTTATCCCCTCATATTCTATTTTAGATTTTCTTCTGTTCTCTTCTATATTCATATAAAATTGATCTAAATACCATGAATATATGATCCAGTAAAAACAGTTCCTGTGTCCAGTTCTTATCATTATGTCAGAAAACTGTCACTGCACCATCACGTGTCATGTCAGGCCTGAGACTGTGGAGCTCGAATGTGGCTTGGACCATTCAAGACGCACGTTATTCCTATAAAGGTCCAGCAGAGGGTGCAATAAGGTCTAATGTGATCATAGCCTTGGTTGTCGGGGTCGTGGCAACTACACAAAAGAGAAGACAAACACACTTTGTGTTGTAAAATTCATGATGGATTAATTAGTTTTGATTAAACCCAAAATAAATATCTCATAGACAAAATCATTTACCAAATTTCTGAATTTCTGAATCTGTATCAGATTTGGTCGAAACATCTTAGTTGTCCTTGTTATAATGAAAGTACAGAGAGAGGTACAATTATTATATGACTGATCTTTAATTTCACACTGTTGATAATGTATTTCTGTTGATTTGAATGTAAAATGTATGAATATATTGTGGGCCCGAGTGCAATGGAGCCATTTATAGGTCAGAGCTAACCGTATGATAAAACATGAAGATTTACAATATATTAATTGCACGACAGCACATATCAAAGTGGCCGTTAACCACCTGAGGTCAATGTCATACTGTCTAATTAACCGGGCAGCGGCTGTGTGGTCCTACATGGACTGTGGAAGGTGGAGAGAGCAGCCGATCTCACGCAACCTCCCCACCACCCTTTACCCACCTTTTACTTCCTCCCATTCACAGGCACGCACGCACTCGCTGTCTGAGTTCTTGCATAGAACAATCTGAGACATTCCATTTGCATGCCCGCCCCATCAAGCTGGATGCACTCAGACTGGTAATAAAAGGCATTGACCCCCTTAACCTTTATGAATTACAATTTGTGCCTGCAGCACGTCCTGTCAGAGGCCTCAGAAAAGCCGGCACCTCAGTCGGGGTGTGTGCGTGTTGTTTTGCAGTTGTTAAGGAGAGGGGAAAAGGTTTTTACAGCTCCTCGACGGAGCTCCTGACAAGCAGGGAGGAGGCGGTCTGACAGCAGAAGCAGGGTAGGGAGGGACTGCAGCGCTGCTGATGGCTCCATGCTAATCTCCATCTCTGGATGCCGCACGAAACTACTGAGGCTCCTTCCTTTGTCAAGACCAAGGATACACATGCTGCAGAGCTGCAGTTCTTCTTACGCCCCCATACATCAACACAGGCAGTTTATTCTCAATGAACTAAATCCAGTAACAGATTAAAGCAGATAGCCTCTCATGGAAACATCTGGCTTGGATTTCTCTGCAAATTGTCAGCATCAAAGGCAAAAGACTATTCAACCTTTGTTAAATCAGATTGTAAGGACAAAGGGAAGAATTTGAAAAAGTACAAGATGATAACATTAGTTGTTGACTGGTTTACATAGTGTAAATAAAAAATACCTCATGACATCATTGTTGTCCATATTAGTATTTCACCAAAACATTTTCTATCTGATCTGTTGATTTCAGTTGTTTTACAGGAAGTTCTCAGTGAGATTCAAATCTGTTTTATAAGACTGATCTGAGAACAACTCCCATTTCAGCAGTGCTCAAAGAAAACAAAGACAAATAATGGATGATTACATTTTTCTGAGCAACTGCCAACCCAACTGACAACCCAGAAAATCTTTAGCACAAGAAGCCATTAAAAATGTGATATCTGAAAAACACATTATAATCAATCTAAGACAGTTTATTTACTTGGAGCATGAAAAGTTGACTTCTGAGTTAAAAAAGAAAAACAGATTTGTACAGATCCCAACCAGAAAAGTCAGTAACAGACTGATTACATATCCATAAACATATTAAAGACCTGCACAACAACCATGGCTCTCCAACATCTAAGCTTGTGATTTATGCCAGAGAAAAAACAGAACCTTTAACATGTGCAGGTCACAGAGAACCAGAGAAACCTTTGCACTTAGAGTGCAGCCTTCAAGCAGCTAGTCAGATAATCCACAATAGGAGAAACATGGGCAGATCTCTGATACTCACTGAAAATCATCCCAGAGAAATGCAACGAGCACTCTTCATCTCTGGAAGATGTAAAGGACATTAGCATTCGCAGAAATTGATTTTCCAGCAAATCCATAATAACACTGATCTTGGTGCAGCTAGAAGTGGTGTAAGAAACGCTGAGGCTCGCAATATCATTAGTCTTTATCCAGAGTTTTTAGCCAAGTCTGTATCACCTCTATATCTACTGAACAAGAGCTTTAATATTAAACCATTCCTTCGCAGAAACACTCGGATCTAATGTAAATGTTTGCTGCATTTTAAATGAAAGTTTAAAACCGACACTGTGTTCTCACAAACACTGGTGTGAGCTGAGCTTTATTCCTTCTGCTGTTTAACATCAGGAAATTCAGGCGGTGGCTGTGTGAACAGGAGCGTGGCTGACAGGGGCAGCCGTGCGATGATTGGTTTACGGATCTGTGCTTTCTCCAGTGACTTCAAGGTCACTGAGATTTACAATCAAATGGCTTATGACACTTTAGTAAAAAGCCACCCACGGCTGATGACAGGGGAAGAAAACGAGTAGGGCCACTTTAGAGGAATCCGCTTGACCTCA